TCTTTCTTTCTTTCTTTCTTTCTTTCTTTCTTTCTTTCTTTCTTTCTTTCTTTCTTTCTTTCTTTCTTTCTTTCTTTCTTTCTTTCTTTCTTTCTCCTCCTGCTGTGTTTGGTGACAGATTTATAGAAGACAAAAAATTGACAGGTTTGTGTGAGGCAGTAAGTGTCGATAGTATGTATTTTTAGGAATTGATCCAGTATCTTAAAGTTGATACAGAATTGCATTTCTAATTCATAATTTACATTCTTTCAGTAACCAGAATGTAAAAATCAAAGAGAAAAATATGTTTTTCCATGATCTGAAAGAACTTTTTATTAAGTAATAAGAAATTTTGAATTTCAGCAGCCTTAACATTTTGATCATTCAAGTAAAATGTTAAGAAGAGGTGAATGTGTTTTTTCGTTGTAGTGGCTGGGCTTTCTGCTTTCTGTTTGTTAGCTGCAGAAGACAAAATCAAAATTGTAATTTCCCTTTTGGACTCCTTTTTTATTGTTACTTTAATTGTTAGTATGCACTAAGAAGGAATAAGTTTTCTAAAACCATATTGAAGAAACAGCTTTTATGGATGTCTTGAAATGTCTCTTAAATTAAGGTTTAAGTTAAGGTTTAAGTTATTGTTGTTTTTGTAAATTGCATGAAGAAAGATATGTTTGTCTTTTCCTCCTTAATTGCCCTGTTGCAGTCCAGCAGGTTTTTCCTGTTTTGGAATGGAGAGGAAGGGAGGCTTGCTTACCAAAAGCAGACGGAGGCAGATGTGGGGGAATAGGGGTTACAAATTGCAATAGCTCTCTTTTTGTCAGTCTAGATACGATCTCTTGTTCAGAAGCTCTAAAAATATGTCGAAGGCATCTATCTCGCCATGAAGTCTTAATATGACAGTATCTACTCTTCCATTTGGTCCCTGGTAAAACTTTCTGATTTTGTCTAAGTGTTAGAAGGAGGAAAAAATGGTAAAGTGGCACGAAAAGGTGTTAGCAGCCGTGCTGTAAGAGAGATGTTTCTGTGGCTACTGCTGTTTCTACACCCAAAAAGCAGGTCTGCCAGTTGGGGCCGAGGCAACGCTGGCGGGGTCATTGGAAGTGCTCGCCATGGTGCTACCTGTGTGAGACGTAGGCCACACTGGGCCGTGTAGGCTGCACGTGGGGCTGAGTGGGGTGGCAGCTGCACGGACTCCTCCACGCGCTGCCTCAGGTGCCTGTGGGTGCCTCTCTTGGAGACCGAGGTCATACAGCTGATGGAGCCAGTATAAGTGTCAAGGGAGGATGTTGTTGCACAGCCATCTGAGCTAACAGCCCAGTGCTGGGGTCCCCTAAGAGTGATGGCCTCTCCCAGAGTCCTTCATTTCCACCATGCTCTGCTTTACTGTGTCTCCAGCCGCTTGCCTACGAGTGGTTTCAGGTGTGCAGCAGCCGTGTGGGAGCGCCCTGGTTGCTGCTAAAGACAAACAAAAATGAGAGAATCCGGTTGGGATTTCTTCTCTCATTCAGCTTAATGTCCCTGCCAAGTCTTCTTAAATACTATTAGGTTTCTTTCTTGGTTTGGTTTCTCTGATATTCCTGAAGAAAAATATACCAACACATGTGATTGGAGGAATTCTGATTTTGCATTTAGCTTATCTGATGTCAATGCAGTTGTCCTGGTGTAAAAGAGGGGTGAGCTGAGGCCAGACTTGGGCCCTTGGGCCTCAGTAGTTGGTTTATGGGCCAGCTGGCCAATACAGCCCTGTCTGTAATGACCTGCTGGACTAGCGCTGGTCAGCTTGGCCCTTGGAGCTCGTCAGCCAGTGCTGCTTGTAGTGGAGATATTGGCTGCAGGTTAATAATAAATCATTAAACTTGGTTTTGGAGATAGCATGCAGGGAGGTGGAGGGGATGGTGGTAAGGTACCGATCTGAGGCAATATCCCTGTTGGCATCATGTTATTGCAGCTGTCTTCCCATGAAAGTAACAGTTAACACTACCGTGGTTATGTCCACATTCAAACCGAGGAGAAATGTCTATCTCAGGTTCAAATAATGATGTTTTTTAACCATATTAAACTTTTTTTTTAATTTCAGGGATATTCTAAAACTATGGGAGGCTTTGTAAAACTAGGATTAGTTAACCCAGATCCTAATCCTTTGTTAAGCTCAGCCACACGACCTCTAACCTGGGTGAGTATAAGTTTTATTCTGGTCATCTACTTCTCTCTATTTTAACATTTTTTTTTTCATATCGCTAGGCTTGGATGTGTTTTGCAATGGTAATACATAACCCTGGGCTTCTCTGCGTTTTTTTTTTTTTTTTCCCCCAAAGAAGCTGAGCTGAGTTAAAACTTCTTAGCAAAAACTTCTTCACTAGGAAGGTTAGGGTGGTCAGGAACAGATGACCAGAGACTAGTCCACTGGATCAGTGGAGGCTTCCAGGACTTAGCTGGGCGAAGCTATAGCTGTCTTGACTGAGTCCTGCTTCAAGCAGGGTGTGGGACTAGATGACTCCAGAGGGCCCTTCCAACATATGAATGTCTTAAATTTTCTGATAGTCAGAATCAAACTCTTGGTGCTGTGAGTTTGCAGTGTTCATGTTGGTATTGGCCCATGAGCTTCACTTCACTGTGCAAATATTTATTGGAGCATCAAGAGGTAAGGAATCATGCCTCAGTGAGTGCATGAAAATCTTTTTATTTTTTTCTGTTAAAACCATGTGCCTACATTTTCTTGTCTGCTATTATCCTGCTCTGCTGCCTTGCTTACTGTTGCCATAATTCACCTTAATCCCATTAGTTCTGCAAGATCTTTGTTGTCTCATAAGTTGCTTTTTTGGAGATATTCTCCACTGACTTTGCAAGTGTCTGGGCACACTTAGAGGTTCAGTGTCATCTTTATGAAATGTCAGATGTGCCAGCTATGAGAACTAGTCCAAAGACTGTTCTTCCCTTATGTTTTGAGTTGGCTGTGAGTGATGTTTTGTGAAACAAATATGGAGAGAGTCACAGTGATCTTCTAAGTGCAGTTAGAATAAAACTGACTTTAATTCTTTTGCCTTACTGACAATCATCTTTCTCTTTCTCTTTCTCTTTCTCTTTCTCTTTCTCTCTCTCTTTCTCTTTTCAAAAGACATTTAGAAGAAGTAAAAACACAGTCTTAATCACTTTCCATCTTGGGGGGGAAACTCATGCTCTCCATGAAAAAAAAAAAATTGGATTTGGTTTCCTTTCATTTTGTGAAAACTACATACTCCTAGAGATTTGTTTATGATGTATGTGGACTTAAAAAGCAAATTATTTTCACCAGAGAGCATAGTTAGTAAAAAAGACTGATAACTTGAAACAGCCAGGCTATAACTCGTATAATGTGTTGCTGCAGCACTTGACAATCAACAACTCTGTAGTCTGTACAGGCAGAGTGGGGAGATTGATTTTACAGTATGAGGTGGAGAGCTGCATTTACAGAGAGCTTATATTACCTGTCTCTGTTTTCTTCTTTCTTGTGAGAAATTTTTCTGAATTTTGCAAACCCTTGAGAGAGACACTTGGTTTACTGCTCAGACAAATGCACAAAACTGCAGCCTGTCTTCTCTATTCCTTCCTTGTGCCTTTACCAGAGTTTATATGGACAAAGGTTTCTGCTGTGTCATGGTCTGCAGGGAACATAGTATTCTTCTGACAGTGTCATTATTTCAAGTAAGGAATGTCTTGAGTATTCTCACAACCATGCGAGGTGAAGAGGCCTGCACTTGCTTGTCTCCGACTAACTGAGAGGGCTGCTTATCTCCCCAAATGCCAGGGAGGTTTTCAGTTGGTGTTTGAGCTAGCATTTCAGCAACGTGCCTCTTTTGGGAACTGCAAAACAGACCCCCTGCATCACAGAATATGATAGGAATGACAACTTTTTTTTTTTGAGATTTTTGTCCTCTTTCAAATATAGTTTTGATATCTTCAAGTTTTCTTTGCAAAGGCTATTAGAATTTCCTATTTTGGCCACACTAAGCAAGGATTTAGTGTCACATAATCTATGGAAATAACTCTGAATTTGTTAGTTTCACTGAAAAGCTTGTTTCGGCACTCTTATCACATCTTGGTATTTTACTTTTATCTCCTTTTATTTTAGTTTTCCTGCAAGTCACCTAGCCTGAGGATCTGAGCATTGGAACCAACTTTGCAGTTCTTGTTTGCTTTGCTTCTTGTTAAATACTTCCTTTTATTATTTGTCTTGGTGTGAATGAAGCAAGCAATAATTAGCATTTTCTTAGCACAAAATACCCTACAGATATGCACAAAAATCTTCTGAAGACATTTTGGTAACACTCTCAGGATTGCCACAGCCTTGTTCATCTAAGCAGTCTGTTTCCTTTTGAAATGACTTCCTGCATTTCTAGACCAGCCCATAATCTGAAGTTCTTGGCTCACTGCCTGTCTCCAGTGGCTTCCCTTTCACCCTAATTTTCTCCCAGTGTTCTTTTTTTGTGCAGATTTCTATGTCCATTTTCCCTCACGAGAGAGAGGATTACAACTAACAAGTAGGAGGAAGCAGCTGAGAAGTGGGAATGTAGTGTTTTATAAAAATATGGCTCCCATTCTCCTTTGCTGTGATGAAGTATCCTGGTCTAGGTCACTTTCTTCTGTCTTCTTAGCAATCTCAGGCTGTCTTCTCAGAAATCCTGGAAGTTAGCTGAGCTTAGTAGAGCAGCAAGTTCAGGAAATCTTCAGGAAATCTTGACTGAAAAAGAGTGGAAAGAGATGTCAGGCCTTCAGCTATAACCAGCTTTTTTACCTTTTTTTTTTTTTTTTTAATACAGAAAATGCTCATGTGCAACCTAGTTGGAATCCAGCCTTCTGCTGAGTACAGTGCTCTTAAAGAAGCAGTATTTAGCAAACTGGGAAATGACAAAAGTCAACTGGCGGCAGTGGAATGGTATGATGTGTTACTAATTTTTTTAATTGAAAAAAAAATGTTTGTATTCTTGCTGAGTTCGGTCCATGTTGAAAGTGTTACGCTGAGCAACCTGGGGGAAATACAGAGCTGAAGACCAATCTTTTAATACACAGTGGTATCAGTTTCTCTCATTTCTTCTGCCAGGTTAGGATTATTGGGAGATGAACCAGTTCCATCATCAAACTCCATTGTGGGGGCACTTGCAAAGCACATGGAGATGAAGCTGCCTTTTGGTATGTGAGAAAATCTTCTCTCTTTCATAAATTTGAATGGAAAAAAACAGTATATCCTATATATTTTGTTAGTGTGTGCAACGTTATATTTCTTTAAATCTTATGATTATGTTCTCTTTTCCTTTATTTATACTTTCATTTCTCTTACAATTTTGCTTTCACTTTTATATTTTATCCATCTGTATAGCCCACATCTCCACTGTAAGTCTTTATACACTTTGTAAGTCTTTTTTATACACTTTATGTATATGATGTGTATGCATAGTGCTTTGCTCATCAGAAACCTCTTGGTTTGATTAGAATACTAAGTAATGAATATGTACTTTTCTTTTAGGCACTGGAGAAAGAGATATGATTGTTATGAGAAATGAGATAGGCCTCAGGCATCCTTCTGGTCATTTGGAAGACAAATTCATTGATCTGGTTGTCTATGGTGATAGCAACGGATACTCGGCGATGGCCAAAACAGTAGGATACCCCACTGCTATTGCTGCTAAGATGGTTCTAGATGGTAAGTCACTGTTCAGCCTTTAGCTGTGTCTTTACCTCAGTCACAGTATTTAATCCCTTGTGTACCTGCCTGCCTGTAGGAAGTGAGAAAGTGGTTATCTAATGTTCCTAAAGTGTTGGGAATTTCTTTTTCAAATGTATCAAACTTTTCCTGTTTCCTTTGCAGTGTGTTTAATCTCCAGGTTTGGGTATGAATATTTCAGTCATTCTTGTTAATTTACTTCTTAATCTATAGAGATTTCTATTCAGTTAGACTTAAGTGTTTCAGTGGTACAGAGAGCATCTTTGGCACGGTAAGTTAAGCCTCTGCATCTCTCAGGTGGTCAAGCCCACAGAGAAACAAGCTAAAATATAACCAGTGCTGAGTAAGCTAGCAGTTTCCTCTGCCACTCTCCAGATTGATTATGCTTGGGACATACTATCCGATCGTGTTGTGTATATGTACACACTCTGCACACTCTGCCTGTTCTTCACCAAGTTTAAGGAAAATAGTGTGGTTTCCCCTGTCCTGGTCTTAACCTTTGAGTCTTTATTGCTCTCCTAGCTAATTGAAATAAGCAAAAACTCTATTTTGATTTTTCTATTCCTACCATTTAGTGTAAAAATGAAGGTTTTAGTTCTCATGATCTCCATCAAAGCATGTAATTTGACATGGAATATGAATAAAGTCAATATTAGGTATGTCAAACTTTTTCCTTATGTTTGTGATACGCTATTGATGCTATGTGAAAGCAAATATAGAAGCCAAGTCACTAAAACTACATATGACACTAAACCAACTAATTGCTATTTGCACTTAATACTGTTTTTTTCTGTCTTTATTCCAGGTGAAATAAATGCCAAAGGCATGGTTATACCCTTGACAAAGAATATATATGGACCAATACTTGAACGTGTTAGGGCAGAAGGCATTATATATAGTACTCATAGCATTATCAAGCAATAAGTGGGAGCAGTGGATTTAATCTGCTTTTAGTTTAGTTTTTTTTTTCTACCCCCTTTCAAGAATCTCAGTACAAAGAGTTAAAGACAATGTCTGCTGTTTCAGACAAAAGTGATACCTTCTATAAAAACCAGTTGCCTGACTATAATGTAGAAACTGTATATACTGATAAATGAAACAAATGGTGGCATTTTCCCTTCAAAACTGGAGCTTTGGTTATTTCAGCTGACAGGTATTGCTGATTTTAAAGACAACCTGTCAGACAGTAGCTAAAGACTTCTGCTGTCCTTGAAGCCTTTGACTGTCATCTGAATGTTTTAATATCAGTCTGATCTTTCCTAATAAGACAAAAATCCTGGGAAAATTTTTTAATTGATCGAGTTTAATGTCCAAGCACATAGGGTCGTTATCAAGGCAAAATTAGCTGAAAGAGGAAAAGAGTGATTTTTATTGTGAAGAAAAAGTGTGATTAATGAATTCCATTGATTAAGTATGATCAATTCCATTGATTATGTGGCATATGTAATTTGTTAAAACAATAGAGACAAAGTGATACTTAATTTAAATCATGTTGTCTTATTCGCTTTAACAGTATTTGTGAACATCTTCCCAATATGCAAGAAATCATTCAGAAATTTTGCACAACTAGCAAATAAGATACCGTTAAGATATTCAGTTGTTAATATTTGAAACCTATACCCTAATATTTGTGAAATACATCTCTTATGAATGTAAACTTAAAATTAATTGGAGGAGGGAAGAAATTTAAACCAACAAAAAATTAAAAATCCTCTTCCCATGACAGAGTGGGAGCTGGTTGCAATGTTGAAATACCTACTGTTACATGTTTTTTACTGTGAGAGAGCATGCTATTTTTTAACTCTGCAGCTGGGAGGGGCATTCTTAAATACAACATAGTTAATGTGCTTAGAAGCCCCTCCAAATCACACGGTCACTCTTTCAACTTACACCTTTTTTTACAGGTCAAGAACTGGTGGTACAAAAGGAATAGACTGTGTAGGATAAACAGCTTTGAAATGCTGTAGCCCGAGCGGCTTTAATGGTTGCTTTTTGGGTTAGCTCCTGTCCTTTTCGTGTCATGCTTTTTGAGTTGCTGTGGAGCTCGATGCAGCGCCCCAGCAGCGTGATGCAGTTCGTGCCGCTTGCGCTGGGACCCTGAGCAGGTCAGCGCCATCAGAGCAACTTGGCAGAGCTCTCTAGCCCGGGTGCTGCAGCCCGCTGAGAAAGCAGCAGTTGCTCCCTTGCAGGTGAGGACGGCTTCTCTGGCTTTAGCTCAGGAATTTCTACCCTACTCTGCAGTGCATTACCCACTGGGTAAGTCCACAAGGCTCAGTGCTTTGCTCAGACCCCAGCTTCTCTCCTGTGCAACTGTGTGGAGCTCCTCTTCTAAAGGAGACCACTGCTTCTGCAGGCTGCTTTTGACGTTGCTCACTAAGTGCTTTGCCACTAAGCGCACAGCCTTTCCCTTTGGAGAAGTACATTGCTATGGCCACAGTCGCCAGGGGCTGGCATTCCCGGTATTCTTCTGCCCAGTAGGAAAAGCAGCCGTAACAACTGCAGAAGTTTTGATCTTCAGTCTCCTCACTCAGGATTTGTGTTTCCTTTGTGCACTACCATGCAGTGAAATAGCAGCTGCAACAAAGAGGGTGAAAGAAGAGGGGGGTGAAAGACGAGGGAGTGAAAGGAAAAGACTCAAAGGCAGAGTATAATGTCAAAGAAGAGGGCTTTCTGCTCTGAAGAACTGAATGGTTTTGTGCTGTTAAATCTTGATTCTGTTACAGTACCATGCTTGTAGGGGATGAAATCCTGGCTCCACCGAGTTGTTCCGCTTACGCCGACACTACGCGCTGTTCATCTCTTCTTGGCTTGTAGGTGTAGCTAGGGAAGGGTGGAGGTGGGAAGGCCTCACTCCCTCCTCCTTCCCCTTGCTGGATTGAAGGCCTAAGGGTGTATGTGCACCTTACCTGCTTCTCTGCCCAGCAAAGATTGTATGTGAACAATATATATATATATTTTAAGACTGTCATGATGCTGGAGCATAAAAGGGATGATCACTACAGTGTGTTTTATTCAAGAAACATGGTTACAATTTTTCTTAAAATAATGTACCAAAATATGTCTCTCTTTCTTAGTGCAATGCTGCTTTTGGTTTTCTAGGTTTTTTTTCTAGGCTTAGACTTAAATTTATTGCTCAGCTTTTATATGAAAATTGGAATTTTCAGTGCTTTTTGCATATTATTGGAAAGATAATTGAATCTTATACGTAAATTTGATTAAAAAATAAATACAAGAACTCTGTTTTCATTGTCATGTCATCTTTATGGCCTGATAAGATGCATCCGAATAAAATCTCTTTGTTTTATGTAGGTGGTTATATTGAAAGGGTGGCTGCCTATACATGGAATGGGCTCACCGGACATCACTCTGTATGTGAAATATCTTTTCATACTTGTCCAGCTCACAATAGCAGTCTCTTAAAGGATTGTGGGGGTATCTAACACTGGATATATTGCTGTATCTTAACAGCTGCTGCTTCTTCAGCTCTAGTCATAAGGCATACAGAGGCTTTTTTTAGTGTGTTTTGTACTTAGGTACAAGGTCAACTGGCTAAGTGGGAAGCTACAGAACAGTAGATCTATAATGTCTATATAAGCACTAGGAAGAAATAAAAGCTTTGTCTGTCCCTGCCTGTTTCGGCTTCAGGGCCTTGCTCTGCCAATGCAAAGTTGAATATTTGGCTTGGTTTCTAGTGTCACTGCCTGGGCTGAAAGGCGCTTAAGCTGTTTGCTCACATTAGGCTGCAAAGAACAATTGCTGGTCATTGTGTTTTTCCTATTTCTTCTTTGAGAAATCTGTTCTCTCTCTGACATATAAACATCTCTGTCACTTAAGAAAGTCCAGGAGCCAGGTTAACTCAAACAGCCTCTGCCTTCCTTGTATTGATATTTGACTCCTTCGTCCCCCAGATATTCCAGTAGACAGGAATTTTATCCTTTATCAGGGACTGGATCACAAAAAATGTAACTGCCAAACAAAAGGATGAGCTTGTAGCACAGCAGCTGTTTAAGGGGAAAAAATCTGGATGAAGACAGTATGGGGTAAAGTGATGGTGATTAGGCTGGAAATCTAACAAAAGCAGGAAGGAAAAAAACAACTGTCCAGCAGAATTTATCAAGGCAGATTGGACCACATCAAATGAAGTGTGACTGATTCCAAGGTCAGAAGAAATAACTGTTTCCTGAAACAAAGGAATGAATTCAGTAAGCCAGAAGATTTCACTTTTTTTTTCCCCTCCTGTGCGCTAAAAATACAAGAACATAATTGATAAAAGCGGGGACAGCAGCTGGAGAAAGTGAGGACGAATGTGCTGAGAGAGGCTTCTCTGCCCTTGTGCCTGGTTAAAAGTGCGTTGTATAACCAAAGAGAAACCCTTGAAACAGAGGTGTATAGTCAAACCTTAAACTTGCTGCAGGAAAGTAATGAAAACTAGGAAAGTGACCTTCTCCCTGTGCCACCTGCTGTGTTTATCTCTCTTTCTTTTGTTCTCTCATCTATCATTCTTGATGCTGCATAACCTCTTTTTTTTTTCCTTTAATTTAAACACCTGTTGGCCTTCTCCTTCTTCCTCCATTTCCTCGATAAAGCATAACCCCCAAACTGGCAGATCCTTTGGCAACCTGAGTCAGTGGCAGTGCTTTATCTACCCCCTATTCTGTAGGGCTGAGGGGCTGGGGTGGTAGCTACCGAGGAGAAATGTAAGAAGAGGTGTCCATGCAGCACAGGCAAAAGCTCGTCCAGGCCGATAGTGAAAGATACTAGAAGAGTGGGAAACAGGAGATGTACCAGGTGATGTTGCACTGACATTTGAAGGATTATTGTAGGAAAAATGCATTCTAGATGACTTATCCTCTTGCCCATTACAGGATGTGAAATGCCCGTGGTAATTCCTGGCATGCTGCCAAAGTGCTATTTTGTCATATGCTGGAGAGAAGGAAACTCCACCAGCCCCTTTGCAGCAAGAGCAAAACACTTGGTGCTTTCTGAACACTAGCTTGCAGCTCAAGGGCTGGAGGAACAGCCCTAGGAAGACACACCAAGGCCCGAGGGTCCAGTGTGGGCCATGTCCAGTGAGGGCAGCCTTTTCAGGTCATGGGGTACTGCAGTGAGAACGTTATCCAGACCTAAATGTATCCGAAGCTGTGATCCTGGAATAGATCCGAAAGCAAAGTGCAACCTCGGGTACCAGAATGTCTTGGGCTTGCTGTAGTACTTTGGGCTTTGTTCCTTCTTCAAACCCAGTGAAACAATAGGACTCATCTTCTCTTGGTCTCCAGCTTTGCTTATTGAAAATGACTGAAGAAGAGGAATGAATGTAACCTTGCCAAACTCATGTTCAATAATTTCCCCCCCCCCCAAAAAAAAATTCAGCCCATCTCATCTTGCATTATCTTAGATATTACAAGGAATCTTGATGAATACTGGTTTTATAGCAAATTGATAACTACTTTAGTGAATTAATTTTCCAAGCTCTTACCAAAGTCTTTAACTAATAAGCTGTTAACAGAGAACCATGAGTCTAAAAATTCTGTTCATCACTTCTTGCTGATTTGTGTAAAGCTTTTCCTTAGGTATTAAATCACAATGCTAATTTCTTTATTTTAAAAAAGTTTGTGACATTATTAAATTAATTAAGATTTTATGCTTTTGTTTATTTTTTAAAACTCTCTACTCACATTGGAAGCACTTTTTTTTTAATGGCACACATGACTTGTAGCTGTTTTAATGAAAAATCGTAAACTGACATTATTTATTAATAGCCTGCTTCTTGTAGGTGATACATGGCATCTTTTCCACACTTGACCCAGTTTGGAAAGGCACGGTATGTTTCTTTTGAGTCTGTAGCTTGGATTATAAGAAAAAAATTAATTAGAATATGGCCTTTGTCTGAGATGGGAACTGACACGCATTTATTAAAATCTGTAATCCATCACAGGTTGAAGATTATAGAAGATGTTTTTATGATTCTTAATTTTTTCCAGATCAGAACCAATATGTGTCGGTAAAGAGATTATCCTAAGCACTTATGTTTTAAATAACTTGTCAGCATGCTAAGATGATGAATGTGATTACAAACATCTCTGGAAGAAACCTTGAACAACGGCTGATTCCTTGGATTATCATTTTAAAATGTCTGCAAAACAGTTTAGGTTGGAAGGAACAGTTATAGCAAGATGGGATGTTAGAAAGGAGGATTTTTTTTCCATTTTTGCCTCATATAAACTGGAGAACATGACAAAGTTTATTGCCTTAAAACCTACTTTGCATATACAACTATATGCAACTGCAAGTATATTAAAAGAAGTTTTTAGAAGAAAAAAGCATAAAGTTATGTAAGACTATAAGCTAGTTTTCCTAAAGAAAACACCAGAGAAGTGGCAGATGAGCATTAGAGATTCTTGCATTATGTGCTAATACCATGGTGAAGAGCAACTGTGTAAATAAGAAGATTATGGAATAGGTTTTGGAAATGGCCATAAGATTGCAATTAACCTCTCTCTTACATGCACCTCTACAGATAAATACAGCAAAAAAAAAAAAAAAAAAGTGTCTGAGTAGGTACTATGTTTTTGAAACAGAAGAGGAAAAAATTATATAGTGGTTTTGACCTCATTAAACTAAATATGCAAGTCAAAGGGTTTAGTCACTTGAGAATATAAGGGGAAGTAGCAATTAATTCCTAGGTCTCCTAGCAAAAAAAAAAAAGGAACATATTGGCTTGCTCGAAGTGCAGTTTACTGCTTGATTGTTGGAAATAATCTGTATATAAAAGAATTCAAGGTTATAAACACATACATATTTGGGGCAATGTACAGATTTTGTGCATTTGTAACTCGTACTACTCTTACAACAACAAAAATGATCTCATTTTTCAAAGATGTTGACCTTGGCTAGGAATACATTAGAAGTTAGCATAGTGGAGACTTGCACTTAGAAGTCATCCCTCAATCTCATTCTTCTTGGACTACAGAACTAGTGAATATGCAGGAAGCAAGTTGTAGAGCCTAGATATGGTGTCTCTGCTCACAAAAGGTGGCTCATTCATTTCTAGTTATTTAATCAATTGGCTATGGCTCTGTGTGCAGGCACACGTGTGTACAATGCACTAGCAAACTTCAAGGTGAATTACTTAGCAGGTAGGAGGAGACTAAAATCTATAAATGCTCAAGGTCTGAACTTATGAGAGCCCAGGAATCCAGGCATATATATTAGATAGGAAGTCTATGCCAGTGTGCAAGGAACCCATGACTGATGTGCTTGTGAATCTGGGGTGTGCACACATGCACACGTGTATGTGTGTTTCACTTCAGTAGTGAAATCTTCAGTAGTGGATCAGCTGGAGAGGAGGAACAGGATCAGGTCACTTGCATTTATGCTTAGGTGAGTGCAATTGGTGGCTATGAGCACTGGTAAAAGCCAAGTCTGTGTGTGTATGTACATGCCTATATGTGCATCTCCTTTCGTAGAATACACACCCAGCCTGGCTCCTGGATGAACCTGCAAAGAACAGCACCAGCCACATCCACTGTACCGGGATGGAGAAAATCTCCCAGATTAAGCTCTGGTGGACTTGGAAGGAGAAAACCCCCAGGCCCCAAAGTCGAATGGATTTGGCCACTCCATAACAGCAGGGACCACACAGCTGTGGTAATAAAGAGAAGAGGTCAAGTGTAAGAGGGAATCCTAGAGCATTAATATGCTGGCATGCTGTCACGGAACGTATGAGCCTATCATAGAATGCTTAAGGTTGGAAGGGACTTCAGAGGTCATCTAGTCCAACCCCCCTGCTCACGCAGGGTCACCTAGAGCATGTGGCACAGAGCTGCATCCAAGCGGGTTTTAAAGATCTCCAAAGAAGGAGACTCCACAACCTCCCTGGGCAGCCCCGTTCCAGGGCTCTGTCACCCTCACTGTCAAGAAATGTTTCCTTAAGTTCCTGTGGAACTTTTGGTGCCTTAGCTTGTGGCCGTTTCCTCTAGTCCTATCTGTGACGACCACTGAAAAGAGGCCGGCCCCTTCCTTTCCTGTGAGAGTTTGTTATAAAGCAAACTATGCATTTGTTTCAATTATTTCATCTGGATGATTAAAATATGGACAAAAGCCGGAATTAAATCCACATGATGTTCTGTTTTCTTCATGCTGACTTATCAGCAGTATTGAGATTTTTCAAGCTGTTACTCTGCAGAGTCTTCTCAACCTATGTTTGTTCACCTTTGCCTCCACTTTCTCATTCCATATATCCTTTCAAGGAAGTCCCACAGTGTTGAAGGGGACCTACATCTCTCTGTTGACACATGCTTACCAAGGCCTTCTGGTCCAGAACCATACTCTTACTCTCAACATTTTTATTTAGCAAGCAAGTGCACCATTATTGGTGTCAGATTTATACAAAAACCTCCGTCCTTCTAAATGCTGCAGCCTATAATACAATCCAGTATTGCTTTTTTGCTATTTGGGGTGATTGCAGAAAACTGTTGACTGGCCAGGCTGAAACTTTTTGCTTTTACTTCGTATTCCTTAATTTTTTCCCAGCCTTTGGCTTTTACCTTGCAAAAGGAGGCAGCAAAGAACTCACCCACAGAATAAATAACCTGCAGCAAAGCCAGCATGGCAAAGTCTTGCTAAGGGGCGATTAAAGCACTTTGGAAGTGTGGGGCAGCCTGTCAGCCTGCAGCTGACAGTGCTGTGAGAGGCACAGGAAAGGGTAAAACAGGCATCACCCTAGATGCTACATGTGTGGGAGGAAGTGGAATGGAGATGAAGTGACAGAATTTAAAGCATTCCAAAATTATCAGAATTCAATGCTTCCAGAGAAACAGTTGGCTTCTCCAAGGTCCTCCTTGAGTCCTTATTCTTGTAAATAAGAGCTCTTCCCTCTCATAATTCAGTCCGATTATTGCATGTGGTAGATTGTTAAGCACAGGCTGGAATATTTATATTTATTTTTGCAATGCCATAGGTAAAAACAATTTAACAATGCCAAGTACAGATGTTATTCTCATAAAAACTTCTTATTTCAAAACAAATGATTTCTATTTCCCACAAAAAGTTAAAATTACATGCAGCTATATGAAGGTTAATTGCTTAAGATGCACAATTATATATCAGAAGACTTTGTTAAAATAAAAACAAACTCGACTACATCATTTTAACAAGGCAATTACACAGAACTAGAAAACTGACTCTGTAGTAAAATATAAAAATCTACAATTATAAATATAAATTTGGTCCATGGAATCACTATAGAAGTAGCAGTATTTACAGTAAGTATCAGATTACTATGTTGAATATCTAATTGAAATCTTAAAATGTTGAATGTTATGGAGAACGGTATTTTATTTACATTCTACTATATTAAAAGTTATACTTCTAGCAAATGTAAGGTCATTATAAATACAGCAAATAAACTGAGTTCTAAAACCATGACATGTTTTTCTGTAGTTGAGAATTCCCTAACATCTATAAATATGGTAGTTTTAAGTTAAAAGTAAATCCAGATAAATCAAAAACTAATACTGAGAAAACATACCACAATTCAATTCTTAGAAACACTGTAAAAGTCAATCAAATTAGTCCAGACGTAACAACGTATTACAAGAAATCTTTCAAGAAAAGGCACACATTGTTAATGATGTAAGTTCTGCAGTAAAGTCATATGCAACAGAAATAACTGTTTGAATGAAGGATGGGAACTGAGAGTTTGTGTGTATATATATATATATAATAACTGAGAAGATTCCCCACCCCGCACAAAGTATAAAACTGAAAATAATAATGGTAAACGCCAGGTATGACCGATGTGCTGTAGGTTTGTGTGTGTTTAATTTCTTTTGCTGATCAAACTAAGGATTCCAAACTTTCAGCTGCGTTTCCGTCAGGTAAAGCTGAGCCATTACTGTCCATAGACGCTGAGGGATTTTCTTCTTGCCTTGTGCTAACAAGGCTGAGAATAGCTTTGTACAGAAACTGGTACTGTTCCTGGAGAAGGAAAGAGGATATTTTCAATGTTTTCACAAATAATAATGGTAGATTTTATTACAACACTGTTACTCAATAGCTAATGTGTCAGCCTGGTAAATAAATAGAGGCCCTGGCAGCTCAGTGCAGGGCAGCATCTCAAGTGTCTTTGAAGAGAAGGCAGAGCTGCACTGGGGAACGGCAGGTGATCTGAGAGGGCAGAGCAATATTTGTGATTCCTGGATGGATACATGAGGAGAATAAAGAATTCCTGGGGCGGGAGGAGTGGAGAGAATTAAGAAGGGCTAAAGAGAGTAGAGAAGATTAAAAAAGACTAAGCAGAATAGAGAAGATTTGGAGCTGGAGTATTAGTATGGACTCATGGATCTGTGGAAAGAGCAGGTTGTTGGAAACTGCATGGAGAACAGATGGGAAAGTGGAAATTTGAGAAAGAGGGCCCAGGCCTTTGCTGGAGGTTTCTGGGACCAGATAGGTGAGAGAACTGATGCTGCTTCTGAGGTGGGAAGAGCTCCCGTCGTGCAGAGCCACCTGTCAGACCTCTCAGTCTGGACTGGCTGGTTAGGAGAAGAGGAGGACACAGAATCACAGAATCACAGAATATTTAAGGTTGGAAGGGACCTCTAGAGATCATCTAGTCCAACCTTCCTGCTCAAGCAGGCACACCTAGAGCATGTGGCACACGTTTCACTAAAGTCAATGGCAAAGTTCCTACTCTTGGAATGGGGTCAGGATTAAGGCTATTTTATGTTTCTCTTTTTTTTAGCTTGAATGTGCCATATCCTTTGAATATGTCATAAACATATATGAACATGTCAATTCTGTCTGTCTTGTCAGAAATTCAGTGACTCTGTCTCTGGTGTTTTACTGTTCTCTTTATTACACTCACTGCAGTAACTGGATTAGCAGCAGTATGACCAAGGGCAGGATTCATAATTTTTGTAATGCATTTTCATCCTTACGGCACAGACTTAAGTGTGTAACTATAGCTTGCTATAGCTTTTTATTTTTCTTTTCTTTCTTTTTAGTTCTTCTGTAAGTACAATGACACTGGTTTCAAGTGACCATTCAACAGATCATGAAAGTTGAAAGTCAGTCCTGGACTGGAAAGTTAGGGCAACTGCTTCATGGCCTACTCAAAATTCAAGTTTATTTCCTGATTAATAGAAAACATGACATCATAGTGCAGAATTTTTATGAGGGTGGCAGTTATGCACGCTTTGCATAAGCCCACTTCATAACCAACTAACCAGTTCTTCATGGGAAACACTCTGGTTTGGAATTAGCTATAGGTCCATTACAGCGCTCCTGGGAAATAGTTCTGATGATTGACTCATGAAGTTACAAGCAGTGCAATAAAGTTATCATCATATCTAAATATGTTAATAATAATAGACATATTCTTTAAAAAACGTACACATTTTGCTTAATACTTACGATATCTGTGAAGACTCCAGGCCTCATCAAATTTATCATCTTAGCTACCTGATAAACATCCACGGAGTTTTCATTTTCTAACTGATGCATGAGTGTTGTAAGTGCACAGAAAGTACCTGCTGTCACCCCTCCATGCCTTTGGAAAGGAAAAAAAACAAAACAAAACACACACACAAATCAAAGTCAATAACCTGGGTCAGATTCCCTCAGCTGGACAAAATACAAGGGCTAGGGTAGAGAGATAAGATAAATTTCCATGATGTGATCTTTACACGTTTTTGAAACGGCACAGCAGTGCCTTAACATGACCTTCACATTATTTGACTGCAGCTTTAGGGGAGTCTGTGTTTACCCAGAAACATGTACTAAGAGAATCAGGAAAAGCTTTAAGGCCCATTTACAATAAATGGGTAAATCTCCTCAGCTAAATAGCCTAATTTCTCTCAATAATAAAGAATGAAGCCCTTTTTGCTTTCATTTCCAGTGCCCAACTCAGTAATGATCCAGAATATCAAAAATAATCAAACTGAAAAGAGAACATTCACTGCATTATTAAATCAAATGTGCCTCTGTTGATGCTGTTAAAGAAGTAGCAGCGCTCCTGCTAGGTGCAGATCCTGCCTTATTTCAGTGGCTCTCATTCTAAATTAGCAGCAAATGTGACTCTAGAGAAAGAAACATCAAAGCAAGTTGAAAGCTGCAGTTCTTACTCATCATGTACAATCATGGGTCCATCCCGGTTGGAAGTTTCCTCTTTGATGATGCTGATCAGTTCAAAAGTTTTGCTAATAGGACTATCAGGATTGGGCCATTTTGGACACTGAAAATGTCTCACTTCGAGTACATAGTCATCCTAAAACAGAGTTTAAAAAAAATAACAGAACATAAATAGTGCTTAACATTTTAAGAGCAAGAAGAAGAGGAAAAATACATCTTTCCTCTTTTAAGGCATCATTTAAAGAGACCAGCATTTCTAGGGATGCTCCTTTAAAACAAAAACAAAAACATGACTCATTTGTTCAGGATTAGAGTCTTCTCAGGACTTCCAGGTCTAGCCAGTTGCAGACCAACAGGCTACAGTCTGCCAAGACTCTCCCATTCCCTTCTCTTGAGAAATGGCAGCAAGGTGCCACAAACCTCAAAGTCCTGCTCCTGTAAGTGCAATGCAGTACAGAGCCAGCTGTGCACATCTGCTATGCTGAAGGGGTATAAAAGACGAAAGCACCTCTTCCCATCAGTAATCCTAATGTTATATAGTAATATTTGGACAGTTCCTGCCCTCTTCATGCAGGCAGCACACTCAGAAGCTCTCTAACTGTGTGCTTGGCTAGGCCAGGCTCCCTTTTCCCTTTATATTTTTTTTTTCCGCTCTGTCCAGTCCTATTTTCTTGGTGCCCTCATTTCTCTCATTTTTCATTACATAGAAAATGTAATAAAATGTAGACATTACTTTTAACAAATCAAATCTTGAGAGTTACAAGGTTTATGACAGTATTACCTGTGTAGCTTCTAAAATAAAGTCTTGGATAATGAGCTTTTCCTCATTAGACAGACACTTCTGTTCTTCAGCAATCATAGTAACTTTAAAACTCTCACAATTTATTGGCTCATCTTTGTTTGGCCAGTAAACAAATTCATCTTCAGCCTCAAGGAAGAAAAAAAAAAGCAATTTTCAGATAATCAAAATTAAACTTACTCCAACTCAATATATAATGTGCTCTGCATGTAATCACTGCACCCAGCTAGATTTAAACTGAAAAAATCAAAATTTGAGCAGAATTACAAACATCTGAAGTGATGGTCCTTCCTTGCTCTTAAACTTCTAGGAAACTTCTAAAAAATCTTCTCTTTTTTAGGAAGTGTAACATTCATAATGTGCTTGATGAGCATACAAAAGCATAAATTGTCTTATCTGTCTTTATTTTTCTAATCATGCAGGATTTTCCAAAGCATTGGCATGGCTTTCCTCCAAACTCATCACCAAACGTGATGCCCTGCCCTCAAAATTTCCATTGATAGTGACCTAAAAGCACTCAGATTTCAATTAAAAAAAAAAAAGTCTTTATTTGCAGCTTTAGGAAATGAAATAGAGAGAAAACATCGTATTACCTCCTTACCTAATACTAACTGAATGAGCTGTATTGCAGTTAAAATAAAAGTCTTGGAGCAAAATTAGACTTGCTTAGGATGACTCCTGCTGTTTGACTCTTTATAAATGTTAATAAGAACAATGAAATGCCTTTTAATTCCAACTGAACTCTACTCAGATGAGGAACTCCAGATCAACTAGGTGACTTTGAGTATTTCACATTCAGTACAATACTGTTAATTTTTAATTGGGTTTGACAAAATCTCATATATTTTCACATTCTTTGCACATTTTAAAATGAGAATACTAGTAAAATTCATATACAAAAATACAGCAATGAGCAATTAATCTTACCATATTCTGGCTGTCAGGAAGCATGACTATCAATTGGGCATTATGGTCCCATATCATTCTCCAGAAATCCTTGATAGTGTGTAGTAAGGGATGTTGGGTAATAATGAATTCATTACTCTGATAATAACCCTGAAAAGAAAAAGAAAACAAAGTCTTAGAGTTTATGTCTAGCTTTCAACATTTAAAGGGACTGTCTAGTGGGCTGGGCCAGAAGCCCAGTAAAATAAATTCCAGAATGATGTCCCTTTTGCAGAAAAGATAACTGCTACCACACCATCATAATATTTTTTAGATAAATAGAATAAAACCAATTACACTGAAATAACTTTTAAAACTTAAAACAAATTCAAGAAATTAAAGGAAAAAGACAAAAGAAATCATTGGAGAGTTGACACTGAACAGTCAGCTCAATGAAAATACTCGGATCACCATCCTAGAGGAAGTGACATGAAATAAATAAAAGAAAATCTCCTGAAAGACATGAAAAGAAATATCAGCAAGTTTTTGATTTGTACAAACATCCCAGACAACTAAACGCAAAATATACCTCCTTTGCTCTCATGCATCTGCTGAATTATCAAGCACAAACATCACTGCAGGGAGCCTTCATCTCTCTTTCCTGAATTTTACATATAAAAGACAGCCCCTACTCCTTCCTTCAGAAAATGAAGGGAGATTCACAGAATCACAGAATGGCTGAGGTTGAAAGGGACCCATAGCAATCATCTAGTCCAGTCTCCGCAACTCCCTCCCCCTGCTTCTGCAGGGACACCCAGAGCACGGGGCACAGGGTGGCATCCAGGGCGGGTTTTAAAGACCTCAAGAGAAGGAGACTCCACAACCTCCCTGGGCAGCCTGTGCCAGGGCTCTGTCACCCTCACAGGAAAGTAGTTCTTCCTCACATATAGACAGAACTTCTGATGTTTCAATTTGTACACATTACTTCTTGTCCTATCACTGGCCAGCACCAGTAAGAGTTTGACCCCATCCTCCCTACATTCTCCCCTCAGCTACTTATACCTATTGATCAGATCTTCTCTCAGCCCTCTTTATCAGGCTAAACAGGCCCAGCTTGCTCAGTCTTTCCTCATACAATAGATGTTCCAGTCCCTTAATGATCTTCGTTGCTCTCTGCTGGACCCTCTCTAGAAGCTCCACGTCCCTCTTGTATTGGGGAGCCCGGAACTGTACCCAATACTCCAGGTGCGGCTTCACCAGAGTGGAGTAGAAAGGCAGGATCACTTCCCTCCACCTGCTGGCAACACTCCTCCTGAGGCAGGCCAGGATCCCATTGACCTTTTTGGCCACAAGCGCACATTGTTGCCTCATGATTAACATGTTGTCAGCCAGGACTCCCAAATCCTTCTCTATGGAGCTGCTTTGCAGCAGGTCAACTCATAATCTGTACTGAAAAGAGTTGAAGGAAATCCACAGAGCAAGAAGGATAATGAAAAGATGATAGTCTACGGTCCCTGGGCTCTGCCAAGTGCAAAAGTTTGGTTTCATGACATGATCATTAAAAAGCAACTTACTAATTAACACTTCTTACTCTTAGCAGATCCTTCCATACGTGAAATTCAGCTTGACTGTTTTTTAAACTATGATGTTTCTACAAATGAACACTTCAATGATCATAAAAACAGAAATAATAGTAGCAATATTTCTGGGGAGAAAGTAAAGTGTAAATAATTGAAGAAAGTTGGAAGGAGCTTTCAAAATCAGAATTATGTCACTGTAACTCAGGCGCTTGGCAGCTCTGAGAACAGCCATGAAGCAGGGCATGGCATTTTTCACCAGCCATTAGCTGACTTACCATGATATAGGAAGCATTGATGTAGTCTGTCCCTTCACCAGACAGTGATGAGATACCAACTCGAGACCTTTCAACTGTAAAAAAAGTCATAAAATAGTTTGTTCCTTGAACAACACATATATTTTAGTAATGATCTCATATACTATTGTAAATATTAGCAAAACTAAGATACATCAATCAGGATGAAGTGCTATCCAGCCCTCTCTCTAATTCTTTGTAGTTACTTTGCCAAATCATTTTCACTAAAAGTTCTTTACAAAAGGGAGATACTCATTGCTCTACACCAATGCACAAGTCCTCAGATCCTGCTGAGGAATAGCAAAAGGTTTGACACAAACTATTCATTAAAAATTTGGCACCCAAGAAGTCTTTTAAAACCAGCTTACCAGGAATGATGGAGGAAGTTCTGTTCTTTTCTCTGTTACACTGCTTGAGTGCAGTAGAGTAATCACACTGCTGAATGTTAGATTGGCTCAGTAACTGGAACAGGGAAGTTAAAAAACTCAGGTCACGATGTGAGAATCATTCTGTCATTAGATGCATTAAACACTGGGTGCACATATTGCAGGTTAGCTGTCTTCCTTAAGTTTGGACATGTAGTTATCTGAGTAAATCTTTTAACTTGTCATCAGAGTCCTTTCTCTCTGCTGTTTTTGCAATTCAAATGATTCTTGGTCCCTAGGTCAAGAAGGCCCCTGATAAACTGCCACTTTAAGTAGTTCACACATTGACCTCCTCAATGCTTGCTGCCATCTCAGTGTCACTTCTTCCATTGTGCCTGCACAGCTGTTTGTGTAGCTTGAAATAGTTTCCTCAAATAAGTAAATAACTTGTTGAGTGTGGAAAAATCTGCATTGATGCCCAGAGACTACAAATGTGAGTGCTGATGTGACACAGCTCTAGATGTTCTAGCTGCGAGTTTTCTGATATTCTTTCCAAATCTGAGAGCAATAGACTGAAATAGAGGTCATATTAACCTACTTGTTTCAATTAACACAATTCAGACAGACAGTGAGAAGGAACGTATATATATGTCACAATGACCATATCTAAGGATGTATTAAGTTTGGAAATCAGGTGATTCTTAGTTTTCAGTTTTCTGATTGCTAGTAAAATCAACTGGATTAATTAAAATGTTTAAAAGAATTCAAAATAATTTCTGTAATATTTTAGGCTGACCATATGTAGCCTCCCCAATGCAACTGCTTAGGAAGAAGAGATAGCAAACAGACAACTTCCATCAAAATGAACAAGACTTTTTTTTAATGTTTTCATTCAAAACAGTTCTTACACAGTGTTCTCACAACACTGTGTGATTTTTCAAGCCAAGACAGTAGCAAACTGTGAAGCCCTTTGACCTTATTCTGTAGTTCATTACCACCAGGAAATACAAGTTAGTATACCTATGTGACCCAAAGCTTCAGGAAAAAGAGAATTAATATTTAACATGGCCTCATTATCTTCTGACATTGTTGACTGACTTAGCTTCTTGAGTTCTTTATTTGTGATCCAACAATTAATTGTGGAAAGAATATATGCTATCCTCCACATTCCTCGGCAGAATTAAAATATTTAGAGAAAAAGCTTGTAACAAGTTATTTCCTGGTATAGTAGGAAAATCAAAGGCTATTATGCTACAAAACACAGAAAAAAATACAAAGCCACAAAACAAACAAAAATCCCAAATCTGGTTTATTCCCTGAATTCAAATTCATATGAAAAAATGGAATTTTCCAACTTTATTTCTTAAGTCACCCCAGTGAACTAGCTAGATTTCCCATTCTTCCTCTGAATCAATGTACTGTTTCTCTCCTAAGTTCTGGGTTGCTACATGTCCAGCCTCAGAACTGTGGTCTTTCTCTGGGTGGCTGAAAGTCATTGGCATGTTCATATTGATCTCCATATATACAAACTCTGGAGTGTTTATCACCTCCTTCTTAGGAGATGCCTGCTTCTACAGCTGATCAGGAAAAATCCTGTTTAAGAGTATGTAAATTATTCTCTTACCCCAGTTGGCTGCACTCATTTGTCAAAATGCTCTCATACAAAGCGAAAAATGATGGTAGTTGCATTGAGACACCTGCTCTAAAAATCATCCATTTGAGGGTGCTAATAAGACAAAAGTTTTTCATGTTAATACCTCAGAGAGCTCACCTTGAATTGTTTCTCCAGCCTGGTCTTTCCTGTTGGTCCAGGTATTAAGAGAGAATTAACATAGGCGTGAATGTGAGTCTCAAGGACTTCTGTTTCTTTACTCAGTATCGCTTCAACCAGTGCATCATGAATGAAGATGTATTGCTCCTAGTAAAATAAAACCAAACAAGTGAGCTCTAATTCTTTTCAGACTTTTCCTGGATATCTTCTTCAGCTAAGTCATCACTTCTATCTGAGTCAGCTTTCTTTTGTGGTTTGCTGCTGTAGTAGACTTTTCTTAAACACGGTCCTCTACAGTAAAGGCTATGCCTCTGTGGGAACAGCATATATTTACACGTGCAACTCAACTACACATGCAAGGTGTACTTGATATGATAGCCTCAAATCAAATTTCCAAGTCAGCATCTTATTTGGTGCTCCTTGCCTCTCTTCCTTGCAATAAAGTGACCACTCCCAGTTCCTGCTGCTATCTCCCATTTTCTATCTCACATCCTTTTGAATAAGCACTCATGCTGTTGTTGACTACCTCTTCTATTGAAAGGTACCAGGGAATCTAACCTCTGTTCTTGAAATTTAAAATAGGCTTTCCAATGCCCTGCTGTTGTCCTTATTGTTTCTTTCTGATTTTACCATTCTATATATAATCTTCTGCTTAAAACAGTTGTATATAATCTTTGCTTCAAACAGCACTGCAAAGAAATTGCTACAGTATGAAGTACGATTTATACAGACTTTGTCTCTTTTGATTCCTCCCTAAAAACAGAGACAAGAGCCACAGATATTACAGGTCATTTGCTAACTCATTGCTTTGAGTGAGCTTACAAGGATTGCACTATAGAAACAGGGGAAGCAAACAAGGAAGTCTAGTCTGGTTGCTGGTCTGCCTGGTGGCACCAACATGAGGATTTTATCATCTCTGCTACTGCAAACAGAACTATAGAAAGTAATATTCTCATTAAATATATTTTAGTCTTACCTCAGTTTGCACCAAGTAGTTCCTTTGGGTACGTATGTGTTTTAGGAATCCAAATATATTGACTGTCCCTTCATTCTGAATTTGTTGCAGCATGCTGTCTAATACTATGTATGTACCTGTCCTTCCAACACCAGCACTATAAAACAACAAAAAAGAATTTTTGAGTCTGAAGTAAGACAACCATGAAGATAATTGTTTCTTATATATAGCTTTATAACAAAAAGTTGTGTGGAGAAGACCTTCCTCTACCAATTTAATTATTATATGAATATATTACTTTATTAAAACTTCAAGGTTGGCAATGAAGAAAAATATTGTCTTATAACTTTTTTTTTCTTTATGCAAGAATAGACTTAAAGATCATTTTAACTATTAAGAAAATATCTATTGAAATAGAAATGAAAGGTTTCCTATCAGATTGCAATTTTGGGGCTGCTGCTACTACTGATAGTTATAGAACTTTGTTAAAGATATTGAGCCAATTAAGAAACTGTAGTGCCCAGTTAGAAATATTTAATGTGCCCAAATTATTCTGTGCTGGAACACGTGTCACTTAACAGGACACGTTGCATTATGCCCCCCCCCTTACAGATATGGCCTATGGACCTTTCAAAGATATTTGACTGGGAAAAGATACTGGACTGTCTAGGAAGTGGCAGAGCTGCAGAAGGTATCTGTAAAAGAAAAGCTTAGTACTCTTCAGGTATGGTTAAGAGGGAAAACAACGGTTGAGAATCTTCTTAAAGAGAGAAGATGTATAAGAATAAAGAGTTTTAACAAGCACGAAGTTATTCAACAGTTAGTATTGCCACCATTTTATGCTAGAGTCAAATTTTGCCATTCTGTGGGAAACTCTCAGAAGTGGAAAGCTCTATATCGTAAGTATATCTGAGCTGAGAAAAGGGCTTGCCTCTCAGAAATATCATCTCCTCTCCTCCCCCCAGAAACCCCAACCAACCAACCAACCAACCAACCAAATAAAACAAATCACAACAAAGAGCCCACAATAAACCCCCCATCTTTTGGAGCCATGTTGTATTAAAACATTTGGTTCTGTTATACACTCTGGCTCTTCCAGCATAATGATGACTGTGTGGTAAGAATCTAGACTAACAAATAGCTTTTTCTTTTTAAAAAATATCTGAGTCATAGGTGGCTTTTATTTTTTTTGCTCTGTATTCCACAATTAGTTGGTTATGATTCCCCTGTCATTTATGTGTGTTAGTGTGTTAGTTCATCTAATTTGTTCATATAATTAGTTCATATAATAGTTCATATAATTTGTCAGCAACACTGAGATTGGTCTATGTGGTCCTTCAGAGGCAGATTCATATTCAGTTTGTCCATGCTAATGCAGCCACCTCATTTCTTGTTCAGAGGTGGTACAAAGCATGGGTAGATTGAGTTCATGCTGCCTGTATTCCACTGCCTAGTAAATAGGCAGTGATATAAAGTGGAAAAGTCTAGGTTATTGACACACTATAACACAAATAAAATTACAAAGATTACCAGGTACCCACTGTACTTCTTATAGAAAGCAAAGGTAAAACATGAAAACTATCAAATCACACATACACATATAACTAGATAAGGTGTCACATATTTGTCCTCCAAACAGCCTGTAAAGATAAGTAAAAGTTACATTTCCAATACTAGACTTTGCTGAAATTCCAGTCAACAGTGACAAATGAACTTAAAAACCTTATAAAACCATTTAATATCAGTATTTGAGATATATATATATATGACTCAATGAAGAAGTCTGAGTGAAGCCATACAGCTTATCACTGTTAATTGTTTTATTTAAAAAAAAAAAAAAAGAACATGATTGATGATGTTGCTGATCTCTCAGGCCACTGTCACAGTCTTTTGGGGAAGCTCTTATTTTGAACTTCCAAATAACAGGCAGGGTACAAATAGAGCAGAACAACCAAAATGTGGAAATTTCATTTTCCAAGCTAAAACAGATTTCAGTCATACTAGATCATCCCAGAAATAAAATATCTTAATTTTCAGCATTGTGAGGCAACTTTACCTGTTGGCTTCCTGAGAGTCAGCTCCAGAAGGACAGAATTCATGAGGAGGTTCTCTTTCCAAATGTTCCATCAAAGGTGAGGTACTACAGTGGAAAACCAGAACCTGCTTATATATTTTACAATAACCCGGTCCTTCACGGGCATTGTGAAGTCATTCCAGGTCCTACAAGCTATTTTTAACCATTTTTCCCTGGGCTGCTCAGTTTTAATGAGCAATGGCAGGACACCTGCCTGCACACTGCGGCACATGCAGACCTCAAACCGATCCCCAGAAAGCTCCTCCAGTGCAAAGGAATGCTAGAACGCAGAGTAAGGTTAAAAACGGCAAAGTTGTAGTTCAGCCAGGAATACAGTGAATCTTCTTTTGTGCAAAGAGCTCTTCTAAGGGCTATAGTGTTTCCCTGCACCAAAGAAAGCATAAGCCAAAAACATCCTAATGATATGCATATTTGCAAGAATGAAAAAAATAGTGCTATATACTTATCTGGTAAGCTCATAGCAATCAGAAGAACAGCACAGAAGTTTGCAAGAAAGTAGAAAGAGAAGCTTTTTTCTTTCTTTTTTTTTCTTTTCTTTTTTTTTTTTAGAGCACTTTGTAGAGCCATTATAGAGAATTATAGAAGTGGCACAGAGCTGGTTGATTAGTTGGCTTTACCAAAGATAGAAATATCAGCCAAGAACTCAATCTTCCTACATCAGCAATTGTTAAATATGACTGAAATTTTGCTTCACCCACCACTGAAAATTCTTTTTTTTTTTTTTTTCTGCAAAACAAAAGTGGAGTGAACTTTACTAGAGTAAAAACCACACCTGCAATGAACCACAACAGGCCCAACAGCGTGACGTTTGGCATGCGATGCCTTCCGCACAAAGGTGAGCACAGGGAGCGTGTATTCTGGAACGCCCATATCAGGCCACTGGGTATAATGGTACTGAGTTACTACACGTCCACTAGACCTTCCTTTCTGGGAACCCTGCAACATAAAAATAATGCCATGAATAAGTATCCCACATTTAAAGGCATTTATTTTCATTATTTTATTTATGTAACTAATAGTTCTTAAATTAATATAGTTCTATTTCGTTAAAGCAAGCCAAACATGTCAGAGTATTTCCTAGTGCTGAATATTCCAGTTTCCAAAGACAACAGGAAAGACAGCTGCCTCTATTAGCACTACATTATAAAGTGTCTTGGCACTGTCCCTTTAGAAAGATATAGTGAAAGACTAATAGCACTGTAAGGATATCAAACTACTCAGCTCCTTGTAAGATCCACCAGTTATTTCTGCTACTCTGTTCCTCTGTCAGGTAGACAGAAAGGGTAGAAATCATCTCATCCAGCTTTACTGATCAAAAAAGGAACCATCCACCTGTTTTGCAAGGGGGTTAAAAATTCAGTCCTACAAAAGAAAAATTCATAGGTATATGATTTAAATCATCCCATATTTTCTACTGGCTGCTGTCATTCTGAGAAGTCTTCTTGCCCTTCAGGAAGGTAAAGTCAACATCAATTCTTTACTGTGACTTTACTGTAGTCTTTTTCCTGCAACACACAGTCACAGGCCAGTATCTCCTCCACCTGCTGATCAAGCCAAATTCAGCTTTACTTCTGCAGTGGAAAAGAGTTGCCAAATGCTTTAAAATATCCTGAGCAACTTTCAATCCCTCTATACTAAACTGTGTTTTCAGGATGCCACAAACCTTTTTGACTTTGGTGTTTCTAATAGCAAAATGCCTCACTGTGTAATAGGCAAGTACATGAACACTCTTCTGAGTAACCAAGAAGTTCCCATATTCTTCACTACCTTCGACAGGCCAATACTGGTCACATTTTCTCTGTTGGAAAGAGAATGAGAAACAGAGAAAGACAGAAGGAAAATAACTGTCAATCTGTCAAAGTTTAAACTTAAGAGTACCATCAACCACAGAAGTGCACAAGAACTCCCAATTTGTAATATATGTGGGAATGTTTATTTATTTTGTGCTATAAAGACATCTGCCTATGTGAAGATATTCTTTATTTGTAGTGCTAGAAAAAAGAGAAATTTAAATCATACAATAGGAACTAAAGACCTCTAATATTTTCAAAGCTGCTATTCTGTATACACGCTAAAATCTGAAGACAATCTAAAGACAGATGGCCTGTAGAAATAGCAGGAATGTATTCCACACAAGAGTGAATCTGCTCTGCCACTGCTTCAAGTTATTAGAGTCATTGGGACATTTTCATTGAGTCACAGAATAGATAAAATATACTGCCATCTGATCAGGGGGAGAAGAGAAAATAGAGCCATATAGAGCTGCTATGTCCAGCCTTTACGTTGGACAGCCACTTAAGTCTTCTCTAGAAGTACTAGAGTACCCATTTATAGTTTGATATGGTAAAAAAAAAGATAGTACTTAGGTACTATTTTATAGACATCTGATAAGCACTTAATTGGTCATATGACAAGAAAGTATGCATTTTACATATGCATGGGTCACAGATGCATATCCCTATCAAGTAATCAAGACACATCCTGTGATAAGAGATGACTTCATTTTAGCTCACAGAACTAATGTATATCTAGTCAGGTGATGGGTAGGAACTGTGGGTGATTGTTAATGTTAGAATGTTAACAGGGAGTAACCTGTGAATATCCATAATGTTTAATTTAAATTAAAGCCATCTCCTTTACAGAGTATAGCGCACCCTTGGAAAAGAGATTTACAGAAAATAGATTGCTTAGTGGAAATTGAACCATTGTCTATAATCTGGCCACTCCTAACTATATCCAAGAAGGCAATTTCTAGTGTAAGACATTCAAGACCTCAGTTGTACATTGAGTTTGAATGTTTTCCTTAGTTCCATACTCAAATCCTCATCATATTTCTATGACCAATTCTAGCACAAGCAACTACTAAAAATTATTGCTTTTTTTTTTCTCAATAAATGCCTAAAAAAGTCTTTTAAAAGAGAGCAAGTAGCCTCTTGGAGGTAGATCTGTCAATATCAGAGAGATAAATAACAGACAAAGGTACTCATACCCTTCCTTTCTCAACAAGATTAGTTATCATCACAATAACTTCTACGTTATGTTCCCATATCATCCTCCAGAAATCTTCTGCTGTCGATTTTAGTGGCCCTTGAGCTGCAATGTAGGCTTTTGGCTTGTTGTAGCCCTAAATTGAAAGATAACAAATGGCACTTGTTAAATCACAGTCCGCGAGCAAAAGAAGGTTGGGAGGAGTATATGGCATTTTATATATCTTTTTTTAAAGAATCTCAAGAGCTTTAAAGTACTTTTGAATTTACAACTATGCAATTTACAGAATGCCTTTGGTACCAAATGACATATGAATGGAACTTTTATGTCAATGTTCATCCTTTCAATAAATACGATATATAGTGTAGTGCTTGTGTTCTGGAAGGATGATGACATGGTAGTGATTATGAGACATCTGTCGTGATAGGGGTTTAAGAAACAAATCATAATAATTCACATGTAAATTACTGGGTAACAAAAACTGAATAAATGGTGTCTCTATGAGGCTGCCAGCCAAACACTATCTTCCCCTCACGAGATTGTCTCAGAAGAATTAACCACTTACCAAATAAGTGTAAAGGAATAAACATTCACACGTGAAATGCTTTTGCAACAATTCAGATGTGATAGAACATTTTATGCTTCATAAAGCTCTTCACTAAGCTGCAGTTGCTACAATATCAAGACGGATTCAAGACAGAAATTTACCTGCACTTCACTTCGTAAGGTTTAAGTCAGATCAAAAGCTGTATTTTTTTCTTTTAACAAAGCCCCTAAAATCATGATACATTTTTTTAAGTCTATTTACTTTCATGCCTCAGTGTTTAGAGAAAAGGCTCTTCTGACATATGAATGGATTGGCAGATAGAAAAATGCACTTACATCAACGTAGTTGGCATTAATGTAATCAGTCAGTTTTCCATCCTTTTCTGAAAGTTGTGCTAATTTAACCCTAGTATGATCATCTGTATTAAAAAGAAAAAAAAAGGCAAAGTAAGCATAGGATTATATTCTTCCTGTAACATGTGTAAAGAAAATTTAATTTTTTTTTACACTATTTATCAGCACAGTGACAATCACATATGGAAACACTCTGCGCTTAGGTATGAAGCAGATTGAAAGTTCTAATTTGCAGAAATATTATCTAATCAACCAAAAGATTCAGAATTTTAGAAATGTATTTCAGAAATAAATGGTAATATTTTTAAAAAGTAAAAAAAAAATCTTTGCATATGACAAAAGTGTACAGCTCTGTGAAGTCAATGGAAGTTCAAAATGTGGAACTGATGGAAACGTGAGTTTCTAGAGATCCTTGAGAAAAGTAGTCTGAGGTAAGTATGAATGAAAAGATAGTGTTGAAAGAATTTGTTATAACTGTACAATACAATGTCATGATAAAGACTAATGTTATTTGCAGGTATTCAGTTTTATGTAGTAAATACAATGATACTGAGGTGCACAAATTATTTGCCTGAACAGAAGCATCCAAGGCACTGTTCTCCCACTTGTTAAGGGTACAGTCCTGGATGCAGTGGCATATCTCAAATGATGCTAGGCATTCTTGCTTAGGCAACTGACTCCTTTCTTGAGAAACACTGACTTCAATACAAAGAGTGGAACTTGAAGCTTGGAGATCAATGGGAACCTATGGAGCTGTCTGGCTGAAGCGTCTGCAACTGACTGTCTAGTCAGTCAACTAGGTGACTACTTTAGGGTGAGCAAAAGGTTTTTCAGCCTCCATCGCTCATAGGGACCTGATTCTGCTGCACATGGTACTTCTTCCTACTTGAGATGCTCTAAGGTAGTTGAGACCTCAGTGAGGGGCTTGAAACCTGTGAGAAATCAACATCCTTCTGGAAGGTCAGTGGAAAGCAGGAAGGATGCCCTAGGACATCTTGGATCCTAGGTCAACTGAACAGGCTGAAGAGCTTTCTCTGACTATAACGAGAAATCAGACACTGACCTGCATGTAAACTCCTATGCAAAAAGACATTAGTCTCGAACTGTTTGGGTACTTGGGCTGACATGAGAGTTAAGTTTGAAATGCAGAGGTAGCTATTCTATTAATCATCCAAACCCATATAATCTTCATGTAGCTAAAACACATGATATTCATGCAGATTTAAGGAATACTGGGACTGGTTATTCCGATCCCTTTCCAAATACTAGCTTAATAATGTCATTATAAGGAAATCCTCAAGCTCCCTTTGGGTCATCACAAAAGACGTATCTTTTTTGATAACAAACGCTTATCAAAGCAGCAGAATGTCAGAGGACTACTTGAAGAAATGTAAGGTCTTATTCTATTCCTTTTTGGACATTTTGTTGCATATCATTCAGAGTTTTCAGTCCAGAGTCCTTCTCCTGTCCCCATAAAAGACTATATTGTCTACAACGTTTCTTGCATAAAACACTAAACGTGAAGCATTTACTTACAAGCAACAATATTTATATATCGATTCTTATTCTTGTTGTCTGGGTGATTAGAGCTGTCTGATGTAATACCTAGATCTACAGTACAGCTCTGGATTTCCTGAAAAAAAGAATGTACATCATAGTATAGTAATTATTAAGATATACACAGTGTATTAAAATACAATAGGCTAGCATGAAAAACCACAACCTTACACCCAATTATCTATGATATTTTACAACTACTTCATTGCTAAAGAAATGCAGTGAAATAATTCCTTACCTGATAAAACTCTTTCAGTGTCTAATGAGGGAATGAATGCAAAAAAAGTAAAAAAAATCAAATTCCACAGCACAGAACAATGGATAAAAGTGTTTATATAAATTACAATTACTATATGGAAAACAGTTATGGCCATGCAATATATCTCCATAATAACAACAAAGCTGACTATTTTGACATAACCCATAAAATAAATGAGCAATTCTTTGAACTTTGAAATAACCTTCTTGTTAAAATAGTGATACCTGTTTTCCTATCTTTAACTTGAATGTTATACACTGGGCAAGTGCATTCAGGTGAGCAACATCACTAACTCTAGACAGATTAGCTAAAAAGTATTCATAGGATTTATAAAGACTTATTATTGGTCCTTATAACTGCATTACTTTCTCAGTTGAATGCTTTTGCTCTCTTTGAATTCACTTGCAAAACCTTCACTGGGAGGAGTATAGTATGCATCTCAGCCTCATGCGACTCTTAAATGCCAGCAGCTTCTCAATGAATGTATAAACACTGCCTGCAGGAGGCAGGCTTGAGAAGGCATTCAAAAAGCCTATAAAATTCATAAAATTCATTTCTTTGTATTTTATTGATTACTTTAATTTGTAGAAATCTCAAACATTTATAAGGCTCACGGTGTTATATAAGAAATATGTTGCCATTAATAAAATACCGTAACAATATTTTGCAATGTATTCTAGGAATTATTTTAGGATGAACAATCTTCCCCATTAGCTATTTAAATACATATGAGAAAAGTAGTTACCAACTTTTCTACTGCCTGCTAAATTAGATGTTAAATATAAGTTGTTTTATATAATACAAAGATACGAACATGCTTATTCCCCTCTCTGCAAGTGTATGCTGATTCTGCAGAGTTACTGACTATATTTAAATTCTTCTATAACTTCTCACTGAAATGCAAGATATTTGGTCTTTGGATCATTCTTGCAATTTAAGAAAAGAAGCTAATGAATGGTTTAAATTTTTCATTAGTTTCCTCATTTCTTGTGAAGGGACATTGATATCACTGCATTTACACAAAATCTTTCAACATTTGCTCTTATTAATAGCCAGACTATCTGGAGTCTAGTCCTGTCAATGCCTAGGCACGTGATTAGTGTCACATATGAGCATGTAATGGTATTTACAAGCATTTACAAGTTTGATCCCACAATCCGATGGATATTCTGAACGTTACATGAGTTGGAGAGGAAATATTAATCAAGTAGTTAGATAAATGACACAGAGTTTTTGGTCTACTGGATTACAATTTATTGTATGGTGAAACAAAAACAAAACCAAAAGATGTGAAAGTCTGAATTACTTTCGGTATTGTTTTAGCAGTAAGACTACAAGAATGCTTGAAATTAATATAGATCTATAAACAACCTTGTTTCTGTCTCAATGGAGTGATTTTAATAGAATATATATATATATCAATATTTTTAATAACACAGCTCTGATTACAGAGTTGAGATTTATAGTATTTATTTTATAAAAAGACAAGGCAGAACAAACATCTGTCTTGGTTATAATAACAATGTAATGTGAGTAACAATGAAGTTCATTAGCTACTTATGGTGATATTGACATATTATATGATAAGGGTATATGTTTCAAAGTTTTGAAATACCTCATATGAACCACATACTTTATGAAAGGAACTGTAAAGCTTTCATTACCCTGTATGAAAACTCTACATTAGAGCCCCTAATAGTCGTCACATGCACTCATTATTACTCCCATATTTTTTCTCTGTAAATGGAACAAGCAAATATAGATAGCTTCTTCAAAATTCAATTTACATGTGTTGGAAAGCTTTAAGTCTTCATCTATATCTGATGATCTATTGTATAGGTTATTCACACAATCAGGTAGTATTTTATCACAGTGAAAACCATCTCCATCTGTATCCCAATCTTGTTAGCTTTAGTAAATCATCCTAGCTTTTATACATGAGTATTCCTACTATGTTCAAGGTTACACATTTGTAAAATTGGTCACCAAGTCACAATGTAATGCCCAGTTCTCTGTTTCCATCTGCATTTAAATCTAACATTATCTGTATGTGCTAAAAATAAAGATGACATCATAGAGCCATACCTCAAATTCTTCAGAAAAACCATTACTTGCATGTAAATCTGCAACGTGTTTTGGGAAATGCTTTATTGGAATTGCTCCAACATCATCTTAGGAGTGGGAAAAGACAAAAAATATATTTGTGAAGAATAAAAAGCCAGGGACATATAAAGTTCATATTTAGGCAATCCACACAACATCCTGAAATAAAACTTCTTATACCAAGATATATGTCTCTCCTTAAAATTAAATTCACTCCCTAACATAGATAACATTTCTAAAACAATTCTCTAGTACCTATACATTTCTAAAGGGGTATTCTGAAAAAAAAAAAAAAAAAAAAAAAAGCATGTGAAATGCCTAGAAAGGGCTTTCTTTATCTTTAAGTTCCCCAAACCAACATGCTGGTTCTGAAGATGATGAGTTTGTTTGTAAATTGAAGAGCACTCAAGCCTCCCTGCAAAGTCAAGGGGAAATGAGAGTCTTAGCAATTTTATGCAGTGTTTTGAAAAGCAGACAGCAGGAGCAGATAATATTGGGAGAGGAAGAACGATGAGGAAGGGGAGTCAAGATTATGACGGCAGTAAAATTTTTACTGATGTGTTGCACATTTGGATTTAAATCCAAAGGAAACAACAACTAAATTTCCTCTTTCATAACAAGAGCGAATATTTCCAGTAGCAAATGACTCCTCCCCACCCATTTTCCAAATTATTCTATGATATTCTATTAATTGATAACAATTTTATGTTTGATCCTGACAGTATCAACTGCAAACTCTTACATCAGGCATTATACATCAACTTCTAAGTGAAGATTATTTTCCTTTATCATTTAATATATGTAAATTGGATTTAACATGCATATAAAATATTTTCTGGATACTCACAAAGAAAATGTCAACATTTTCATCCTATAAACATGTCCTATGTGTCCTGAGTCTGAATTTTCAGTCTGATGTTTTCATTTCAAGAAATCTCCTTTTTATTTTATATAAACATAGAAAAACACTTTTGTGTAGAATATTCATTAGGGATCATGTCAAAAACCTTTGGGACTTTTAATCTTTTCTTTCCTGCAAATATGTTGTGTAAACATAGTCATCTGTTCTGTTAATTACCTATTATAGACCATAATATTTTAACTAGTTTTGACTCTGAAGAATATAGATTTTTTTAAGTGTTTAATGGATTTAAAATATTTTTATTTCACAATTTGCAATTTCATTACTGTTTCATATAAGAAGGAAACATTAAAAACATTTTACAAGGACCTGTTATTTGTATCAACAGATGTTCAGCATTTAGGCCATAAAATATTTTTAGCTTTCAGTTACCAAGAATTTGTTGATTTGTATTGAGATCCATCTGGTCTTCCACTTACAGGAATAGACCTGAATACTAATAGTGAATTTATTCAGTCAAGCCTAACAAAAGTGTGACACTATGCTCACACTTCAGAGAAGGGACCTGGCGTAAAGTGTTTATTCTATGATATGCCAATACAAAACCAAAAGGCAAATAGATGACCTGATGAGCATGGACAATAAGGATAAAGAGATCTCAGGTTTGATATTATTGCTGTATTTTCTGGCCAGTGCTAATTCCCTATTTAGTCACTTCTGGCTCCAGAAACATAGTCTACTTCTGGATGGCAGGTATCATTTGATGCTTATTAAAGGTTGACACTAACTCCTAACATTGCCCAGTAATCAGTAATTCATTATTTTCAGTAAATGCCTCTTCGAATTACAGTATGAAGTGCATTTTCTCTGCAGAACCATGAATCTTCTACCTCTGCCATCAGAACTCCATGGAAGGAAAAATGAATATATAATAATGAGATTTGTGGAATGTGTTTGTAGTCATAGCTATAAAAAAAAAAAAAAAAAAACATACAACTTAACAGTTGCAGCATGATCTTTCTGGCCTAAGCCATTTGCCAATATTATATCATGATTAGCCTCAGTTGTTGTAAAACCACACTGCTGGTAGAAACCATGAAAACTGCTCACTTGACACTGTCTGCATACAAAATGAAACAGAGCATTCCTTGGCATTTGGAGTTCTTCCATAAAATACTTCATGTGCATTTCAGTCTTTCAAAAACACTTTTAAGTAAATATTCATGAGCTTTTTAGAAGTAAAACCACCAGCAGCAGAACATATATTTTAAGCACTCAGAATAGCGGTAAGTGTAATTCTTCCTCAACAAATGCAAAACACTGTCTACCCGAGGTGACTTGGTCAGAACAAACTGCAAGGAAATTATACAGTTGCACTGCAATAAAGTTGTACTGTAATACTGATAGAGACTAAGAAGAGAAATTTCATATATTGAATTGCACTTGAGATTCACACATAATCACATATTTTTGGAGCATCAAGCTATATCCCTGCCTATTAACCATTTAGAAAAAGGTTAGGTCTAATAATAGCAATCAATGCAAGGCACATTTAAAGATGTCTAAAATTTAGTTACAACAGAAACTTAAAGTTTGAAATTTATTTACTAGATATCTACACAGGGGCTGATTTTCTTCCTTCAATCATTCTGAGGGCACTCATTTCCCCATGTAATTGCACCATTTGAAACATCATTAGTTATGCTATGAGATATTCTTTTCTGACGTACAAAAATGTGGGTTGGGGTGACCTGCAGAATTAACCTATTTAATGTGTTTTTCATTCCACTTAGCCTGAAAGGGCTGGGAAGTGCTGCACAGTGTTACTTTGATATGCTTTGAAGAGGAAAAGAAAGAAAAACTTTCTCCAAATAACTGTAGTGGAAATGGAAACAGGAGGGGCTAATATTTTGCATTTGTGTATCACATTTTATCTGAGACTCACAGAGAATTTTACTACTAGCAATATATACTAGCAAAATGCATCAACAAGTTAAAAAAACAAAGATTACAATAACCAATGAAATGCAGAAAAATGAAGCATGTGTTGGTGCTGCTGGTAAAAACGAAAAATAACATTCTATACATAGGATATTTATTCAATGACAAACAGCAGAACATGTTACTGGTACAATCCTCCACTTTGGGACAGTGAATTAAAACAGTTTGGTGTAGTTCAAATGTAGACGATTCTGGCTAGAAGCTGCAGCATATCTCTGTAAGGAAGGATATCTCTCTCTTGTGTTCCTACAGGAGAGAACATTAGTAGCACTATTCTTGGCCTCCATCCAGTATACCTGTCTTTATTAGTTTAAGAGAGCACAAATATCTGGTTTACAGAGGTTATAGTGTGTGAAGAACTCATACTGGCACATGCAAAGAGAGCATCTTTCAATAACTACCACCAATCCACAAAATAGTTGACAAGAAATACCTGAGACTGGGAAGACTGGAGCTGGAGGAATGGAAATTACTCGAGGTGATGTATTGTCTTCTAAATAAAAATGAGCTGTCTGGAAACATTTCCTAAAGGGTAAGAAGCACAAATTAATACTGCGAACATAAAACAGTAGCTGATATCTCTTGGAATTCTGTTGTTATTACGTAAAGACAGAAAATCATGTTTTTGAGAACCAATTCTCATTGAATGTCAAACACAGCTGCTATAATATAATTACTCTCACAACACCTCAACATACTATACATACAACCTGAAAACATCACATTAGCTCAGGACAATATATAGCTTATGCATCTTTACCTATACCAGAGGCAGAAGACAGAGCGCACATCAGACACCCACATGGCAAAGCTGAGAAAGCTTCTCTACACCAGGAGCTACTGCAGATGCTGCACAGCGATCTCCAGGACAATAAAATTCCACTGCCTTCTTTGCTTATCCAAATTTGCACACAAAATTGCTATCTCTTTTCCTGTGACTATGCTAGCTTGAAGGTGGTGCCAACATATGAGACAAGTTATGGTAATACATCAATATATTCTACTGCAGACACTTAAATGTAGATGGCAACATGCCCTGAAACAGAGGCGGCCATGGAACTACCATGACTGTGAATAAATTATTTTTTCATGATGTAGTCACAATATTGAGGGACACTTTAACCAAGTAAGACTTCTAGAAGCTGATAGACAGGAACAGGGGAATTTATGACTCCAGGAGGTGCTAGCTCTGTTACAGAAACATCTTAGTAGGAATACAAATGGAATCAACCTTAACCCACAATGCTATTTGTACCCATGCCATAATCCAGATGTGATGATAATGAGAATAGCATCTGTTAAGAGTCCAAGCTATTCAAGGGACTAAATAACCAACTGCTGCTGTAAGCATTGCAAAGCCTCCTTAATTAAAAAATATCCAGATGATTAGACATGCTAATATCAATCTTTACTCTGGGTCACTTAGTCTATTTGAAATATTCATAAATGGCTAAAATTAAAAAGAAATTTATGCATCAGGATAATATTAATCTCATTTTATATTTACAAGATTCTGTTCCTTGAAAGATGTTGGCTTAAGTTATTGTATGATCATTGGTATTTTATGTAATCAGTGTTATTGCAAATTCTCCTTTCATACTGTTCCTGTGAATGAGTAGCTCTGTACAGATAAAATCCCCCATATGGTAAACAAAGAGAAATATGGAGGCTCCTTGGAGAGAAAGGTGGAGAATAAAGGGTTTGCGGAAATTGTGATTATTTCTGGGACCATTTACTGTAAATTATAAAGATTTTGGTAAGCTTATATGAACTAAGACTCAGGGAAACACAGAGGTACTCCTGGAATATGGTGGGAAATGTCTGCTTTTGTGTACAGTGCGGATTCTCTTAAAATGTAAGAGAAAGTGGACAGCTATACAAGCAATAAAATCTAGGCAAGCAGAATAGTTATAGCAGTTCACATGAAAACCATATATGTAGTCCAGCTAGAATCCTCCAAAAACATATTTATGACAGTCATGGAGGGGCTTTTGATTTTCCATGCCGCATTTGGAATAGGACTATCCATTATGCACTTTTCTTCATTTAGAACCTGGCATTTTGAATGTGGAAAAAGATCACATTCAGGATGTTTGAGGGAATAGTCTTCAAAATTTAGAGCTCCTAAGACTAGTACCCTACAGAATGAGCATCTCAAATAGCTGCTGTGATTGAAGAGGCTGTGTCTCAATGCTTTATAATACTCAAGAGTTAGCCTCAGGAGGATGTTAAAAATAGTTACAAAAGACAGATAAATATCAAATACTTCAAACCACTAATCACTTTTGGAAAGTTTGACCCGAGTGCACTGGGCGCTGTGAATCCAAATGTAGTATATTTATTAAAATAACAGCAATAAATTAAACATACTAACCAACAGTAACACACCCAAAAATTCCCCTGTTGAAGAACATAATGCTTTTGAGCAATGGTCATACATAAAGTTCATGCAATAACATTATAGAGTTGTCTCCATGTATGAAAAACAGTTTAAGCTAAAAATATTTTAATTAAGTGTAATGGTTTCTCACATCTTCAGCCTTGCTTAAAATGTCCTTGTAATATGTTGTGCATTCACTACCCTTCATTGAGCCACTGCCTCTTTAATATTTAACAAGTTAATTGTGGCTGAAAATAAATTACACCCTTAACACATTTGGGAGACAAACTCATAGCAGTTGATTTAACCTATAATAAGACTCATAAATAGGTACTCCATCTGCTTCTGCATCATCAGTGAAAGCCTTCATGACTAAATCTGATGTTAATAATCTTGTCTCCTGTTAATTATCACTCATCATTAATGAAAAAGTGATGACTGTTTCAAACTTACAGACAAAGGTCCCATCACTCAATGTTAACCCAATTATTTAATTTACACCTTATATCACAGCATTTAGATCACCAACCTAAAACTGTAATTCATAATTTAGACACTGCGCTTCTTCAAATACATATTTTATACATAAGATAGTTATAAAACATTGAATTAATTACACTCCATTTCTATACAGGAAGCCGTGCAGCAGCAGCTCATCTGTTTAACAGGAGGCATACTAGATCTGAATGAACACTTAAATGTGAATTGTTTGGGGCAAAATGATTGTACCTACACAATAGGTATTCCCAAATACTTACTATAATTTACTTTTAAATGATTTCAAATTGTTGGCTGGAATTATAATCATTGTGTTTTATTAACTCATTTATTTATGTAGTATGTAAATAAGTTGTACATTTAACTGTAAACAGATGTTACATAGTTGAACATTTTTTTCTTTCTTGGATGCATGAATGTGATCTATGTAGGTTTAAATTTATTTTTTAGCATGTCTTTGCAGGTCTAAGTTTAAATATCCTCATAGAAGTCTCCCAGCATTTTTGTGATACTAACACAGAACTCAAGATACAAGCTTAAATCACGGATAAAAAAATGGACATTCTCTGATAGCTATGTTTCAAAGACATAGGATTGTAGGAGACAGTTAAAGTCACAAATGACTGCTCAGGGTGTTGTCTGCCATTGGGTTGGTAATTTCTGAAGCACTGCTGTCATACAGCTTCTCCTGTCATACAGGAGGCTCTGTGACAGGTGAAGATACTCAGTGCCTATAGATAGATATTTAACTGAACTGTATTAGCAGTTTGTTGTTCACAATGTTATAAGAATTTATGTCTTCCTGAGATTCAAATATATTCAAAAATTGTGGATGATTCAGCTCCCACTGACGTCTATTATTTTAATATTTTCCATTCTCCACTTAAGATACCTGTTACGGAAACTAACTTGCACAAACAACCTGGTGTTCTCTACAATGCCTTCAGATTCAGTCTCTTTCATCGACTCTATGAACTGTTTCAAACCAGTACAGAAACACTTTAGCAATTTCCAGTATATGTGAGAACAGAGATACTTTCAAGTTGAAACATCTTAACGGATAAGGTTAATTCAGCAAAATTGGAATGACAATGCCATCAAGAAATTAAAAGAAAGGAGCAAGGATATTCAAATATTCCTGATTCGTCTGTGTTACAAGGACTCAGTCAAGTAGACATATATATATATATATATATAGAAAGATAAAAAGGCTCTAAGGTTGAATAGAAAAAATTCTCTAAGGCTGTAGAAAAAATCTATCCAGAACACAAGGCCATTAAGTAGGCAAAAGAATCTTCTTGTTTATTCCACTGTAATCTTAAGCAGGCTAGAGAAATGAAAGGAAAATGACATTGCTGGAATTGCTTGAATTACAGAAGATTTGATACATAAAGCTAGAGTAGTTTAAAACTCTGTTTTATTTTACTACCTGAAATTAGACATTCTTTAGACAATATCACCATTAAATTCTTTTATCCCTATCAGATAAATGAGTATTTTATCACAGAAAGATTGGACTTATATATAATGGGATAGTGAAGAGATCGGGGAATTTCCTCAAGTGCTGATTAACAATTTCATGTAAAAAACACACAAACCCAAACAACAGATGGTACAGAATTATTCTTCGTCTACAAGTGATTTGAGTAAATAAAATAATTTTGCTTTTTTAACCTTCAGAAAACAAAATTGTAGATCATGCTAGTAATTTGCTTCTATAAATCTTTTAAAAAAAGAACACACCTTTTTCATATTCAAATAAGGAGCCAATGATGAAAGAATTCAGAATACTATTCCCTCACTTACACAACTAGTGTATATCAATGCAGTTTTTATAAATACTGTTGCTGGTACCTCTTGCAAATCTTAACTTTTTATGAACTTTATGGAATGCAAAAGAGAAAAGAGAAAGCTTTTAAAATGCACTGTAAAAAAAAAAAAAAAAAAAAAAAAAANAAAAAAAAAAAAAAAAAAAAAAAAAGGCTGACAGTGTATATAAATTATTTCAAAATTAGCTAAAGCTATCCATAAAAATGCTTATATCTTTTATATAAATATTTTCCAAGGCCCCCCCAAAAAATCCACTAAAGTTAATGTTCTTATTTTTCCCACATTTTGAAACAAGGCTACAAAGTCTTACCTACCCTACATGCTATTTCATTCCTCTGAAATAAGAAGTATGTTACCATAATGCCCATGAAAATTTTATGGAGGATTAACAAAAAAAGAGCTCCATATTTTATTTTGTAGTACACAAGAAACACAGGAAAGATTAAAATCAACTTCAAGAAGATATTATTGCTAACGGGATTTTTGTTTTATTTTGAAAGACCTATGTTACTGAATTGTTCATTCCCAGAGAAGGAATACGAAATGAGCACAATGTTATTTGACAAAAACAAGCTTGTAACATGTGTAGGATTACTAAAACTGCACTATACAATCTGAGTCTTAAAATGGATGGTGTTCTTCAGCATGTTGAAGGGATTTAAAATACTACTTAGCTTCAAGAATGAACCACTTTGGAAGATGAATGCTCATGTTGCATAATGTGAAAGAAAAGAGAAGGTCCCCAATATGAAACTGGTTAACTGGTCAATACTGTGAGAAGAGTATAACTACCCAAATAGAAGTAAATTAAGAAATGGGTTTTTTTTGCAATTCTTGGTATAATTAACTATTTTTTTTGGAAGAGGAAAAAGTCCTTCTGAAAATTAGTTGTCCAAATGTGTCTTTAATCATGCCAACTGCTGTCTGACTCCTTGGCATGCTTGCCTGGGAAGAAGGCAGCTCAGGCTCAGTTTCTCAGCCCATAGAGGGTTGGATGTGTTCTGTGGTATTCTGTCCCACTGTGCGACATAGCTTGCTTGTCTGATAGAAAAACACAATGTCAGGAGACACGGAGAAAAGTCAGCAAGCACAGCTATGACCCCATAACCTAATGTTTGGGTAATAGCTGAGGCAGACTGCCTGTGCTCTGGTTCCTGGTTCTCCACAAGTGATGAATTTGAGATTAAACAAGATTGGGGTAGGGAAAAAGAAAAAAAAAAAAAAAAAAAAAAAAAAAGGAAAAAGAAGAAAAACACAAAGAAACAGTCCTGGAAGCATCTGAAAGATATATGAGCCTGCCTTCCCTCTAGTTGTAGAGTTCTGCATGGATCCACAAACTCTCTGAGGGCATATATCATTGTTCCTAGGAAGATTGTCTGCTTTTACAGACAAAGAAACCGAGTCCTGCAAAAGCCTGAGCACTCTCAGCCTACTCATAATGCTGTCACATTGCTAACAAGTTTTCTGGTTTGTTTATTTCCCAGGCCAACTTGCATTTTTCCACAGAACTCTAGCCATAATTTAGGGTTAGCACCATCCAGAGATGATTCCTAGGAGATGATTTGTATGCAGTCCCCATTTTTTTAAGGGAAGAGGCTTTAGCTGTATGGAAGTGAGCTGTGTCATGCTGGTTGGTCTCAGGGCTGGAGAACGGCTCCTGGCCATCTTTATTTCACAGTATAGATCCAGTCTTTTATCCCCACTGGTTATGTTCTTAGGGTTTTTGACTGCTATCACTTCTCTTTAATTTTTCTCTTCTTACTAACTTAGCAAACCATGGAGAAAAATGCCCAAACGGGAAACTAAATATATATGTGCACATGAAACTCACCCTTAATTACCTGCTGAATGGCTTGAATAATTGAGGAACAAATTTTGATTCTGAGGTTGGAAGAATTCCAACTTAGGAACAACCATCTAGTCACATAAGGTAAGTGCTACATAATAAGTGATCTTAAACAATTACACACTATTATATTCCTAGCTCAGAGTATGAGCTACAGCATTAACCTACAACTCTTTATGAATTGCTTATTGCTGTTGAGGACCACAATTCTTTCTTAAATTGATAAAAAATGTCTTTTTATTTGAAAATATAAAAAGGAATCCATGTTATTTATTTCTTCTCTCCCTGCTCCTCTTTCTCCACCTCTTCTTGAATTCATTTGTTCGCTAACCATTAATAAACATGAACAATGTATTCATTAAAATCTAATTATTAAATTATTTGAAATGGTTCATGCTTTGCAGCCAAAAAGGAGAACTATAGCCAAGAACTTTGGAAAGAAACCATTGCTCTCATTGCTTTATGCCACTACATCACATGCAGGAAACACAAAGACATGTGAAAGGCAGGATCTAGTCTGTTGACTAGATTATTGAGCCTGCTCATCTCAGTAATACCAATCACTTTTGTAAGTTCAGAGCTCTTTACAACTGAAGCAAACAAACAAACAAACAAACAAACAACTTACCTCCAGTATATGAGAATACCCACAAGAATCACTAGACAGATAAAAGTCAGGGCTGACACAACCACAAGTGGTACAACAGTCTTCTTCTCTGATTCCAGACTCTCAGCTAGACCAATACGAGACTCATGGCTACTATTACTTGCCTCTGCAGTCAGAGAAAATTGAAACAGTCCACGTTTAAATTTTGACATATGCATAGCACAAGCGAGGTGTCTTAACCTACTTAATGACACTTACCTGTCTTTTTTACTACACACTGCAGAAAATGTATACATTTGCAAACCAGCTTACAGAAAAAAGGCAGACAGAGAGTAAAAGCAAAGTGTTCAAGCTTATGTGACTCAGCCTTCCAGCAGTGGAGACTTCTCCTTGCAAGAGCAGCAGATTGTTGTTATAATTAGAAGAAAGCTTTTTATTTTCATCAGTCCATTAGCTGAAAGTTAATGGCATTAAGGGATCTGAATAGATAATATTGGAAAGTGTAAACAACACTTTGATATTAAACTGCCACTCATGTAATGCAAACCACTTGTCTTTGACTAATAGTGTAACAGGACATTTATACTACAATATAAATTCACTAAGCAATCTCTGTAAGGTAGTTAGGCCTTCTATATTTTAGTACATTGTCTGTTCAATAATTTATCATATTGATACATGGAGAAAGCCTGCTTCCTTTTAATTAAGTTACAGTACTCCCTCTCATGACTATGCTGGAGCCAGAATTTAATTTTCTCCTTTTCTCCTTACTATGAATCAAATTACTATTTAAATAGCTATATTACCTGTAATTCATATATTTGTCAACCTTGTAACACTGAATGAGAGAAATATTTGGACTTGGATATCTATATTAAGATTAACAAAATATAATTTATAATCTCATTAAAATAGGAGACCATATTATAGAAAACTAGTCCTAGAATCTTAATTTTGGTCATTCTTCTAAAAGTAGACACATTATAACAGTAATTTTGATACAAAATGACCATTTTTTCCCCAATCTGTGTATTTTGTTGTGATTTGTGGCATTTAATAATATGAAAACCATCATTATCATACTTCCTGTGATTTAACCTGAAGATTTAAAAAATGTAATTAAATGATTTCTGCAATTGTGCTCAGTTATAATTGAAAGAAAATGATGTATGAAAGCAAAAAACTGGTGTCCAAAAATAGGCTACACCACACTGGGATTTCAAGGAACCCATTCTAATTCATACATAGATAAAAAGCTTTCAGACAAAAGGGAACAGGGAATGAAGTTGGATCTGAAAAAAAAAAGACAACAAATCAAATATCCTAAGATGTCAAAAAACAAACAAACAAAAGAAAAAAAAAATACTCCAAACCAGTTATCTACTTCCATTTTCTTGAGTTTAGATATTGAGTTTAGGTCGATTGAAGGCACAAAGTGGTAGCCAGTGTTAGAAGCTGGTTCTGAAAATCGATCCTCAGCTTTCTAGTGAGCATGCTAAAATCAGTATTTCCTAGTGATTTTAGTGGAAACCAAATATCTGCATGAGAAATCAGAATATGATCCCTTCGAAGCATTCATATTTGCTTACCCTACTCTGGACTAATTCACAGGATAAAACTTGGTTGCATCTGTGTGATGACAGGATTCCTTCAATTTGCATAACAAAATTCTATTATCCTTCCTTCTACAGGGAGTAAAAAGCAGTCAGACTTTCTCCTTTAACATGCAGCTTCTTGCCCCTTGGCTATTACTTCAACGATGGCTGCTGGAAAGACACATGTGTTTATAGTAGATTGCTTTGTAATAATATGTTTAGATCCCTTGGGTTACTTACATAAGAGGAGTTGGAAAAGTTAAAATTTGCAATTTTAACTCACAATTTAAATTACAAATTCAATTTTTCTGAAAGATTAAGTAGTAACAGCAACATAACATAGCTTCTGAAGAATTCACTTTGATGTATACAGAAGTGCTCAGCTGATAGTGTTTGTTCTTTTTATTTGCTTTATAATTAAAGCAAAGAGAATTTGATTTGCAGTGGACTTCATGTCAGACATGTTCACATTTAATTTTTAGTCTATTAAAAGACAATACTGGGCATCATATATTGGAAAAAAATAAGGTACATAACATGATGCTGTATACTGCCATTCAAAAATACCTGGAACACAAATTTGCAGTCTGTTGTACTACTGCTTCAGTCATTATAATCCTTTTCAATTACTATCAGTAACATTTCAAGCTCGTTGCTAATTGAAAATGACATTTCTTATGTAAACTATAAATCTCTTATGATAACATCCATCTACTTAAGATAAACTTAACGTAAGTTTTGAAATATTCATGTTATTTTTGCTGAACTTTAAAAGAAAACATTTTATAACTACTTACCTACTAGATTAATTCACTTACAGATTCAGTGACTAAGCTGGTAGGACTCCTGTTAATTTCATTATATTTCTATTATATTTCACATTCCACTAGCTCTAACTACACAGTGTGCCAGTCTATTAGCCTGTCATATTATTATTATTTTCCATGTGAGTAATATGACTTTGTGTGATTTAACTGAGTATTTATAGGACTAGGCTTACAATATCACATACTTTATGGGGCCATTTCCTTAGGTGAAATTTGTTGGATAATACTGCCCTCTACAGGTACCTTGAATATCTAATGAAATTCCCATATTTAATTTAATTTATGAAATACCGCTTTTTTTTTTTTTAATTATTGTAGATATTGTTTCTGACTTTATTCTTGGATTTTCAATACTGTAGTAAGAGACAGCCCAAATATGTATCTGAATAATGAATATGTATCTGAACCTTTTTTTTTTCCACAATATATTTTTAAATGCAGAAGAAATGTTTTAGATTTATTATATTTTTATCCATATGAGGTGCAGTTTTGCCTTCTGTATCCACCTTTGGAACCATTTTTCACAAATATTTTCACTAAGTTTAAGAGGACTAACCAGAAAGGAAAATAATAACACATATAGACAGTACAAGAGGATCTGGCTCTAGTATTTTGGAAATAAGCAGATAATTGTCGACATCTTTCAAACTTTTAAAAAGTGGTAAAAGCACTAAGAATGAAAATGAAAGCTTTTACAAGATGAATCAGAATCAAACTGAAACATCTTTTTCCTTGCTCAATACAGCTTGAAGAATACAAAAAGCATAATATGCAAATGTGCTGCCAAAAATACTAAATCTTAGAGAGTTTTTTTTTTTCTCTCTCTCTTTTTTTTTTTTTTTTTTTCTGAAAGGTCAACATGGAGGCTATGGCCCTCTTAAACCTTCAAGAATAAAATGAGACAACAGTGAAACAAGCTCTGCTTTAAATGGTGCACCACCCAACTTCTGCTGAGAGTGTAAATCAGAAAGGCAGAATGTTAACCTAATTACTGAAGAGTGTTTCAGGTACTATTTTGAGTAGACAGAAGTAGCATCTAGGAGATAGCCAGCTCAATATGCACTCCCAGGTCTCCAGTGTTTCCCCTTAATCACACCCACTGGCCCTTCTTTGTTCTCCTTATTTTTTATAATATATGTAGAAAAGTTTTCATTCTCTATGGCATAAAAATATCCCCTCACAGCTTTCCGTGGTATGCATTAGACTTATCCTTGACTAACCTGCCTCAGAGATGTTGAATACTGATGAGTGATCGCTAGTTATAGATGAGGTTGATGACTGTGACGATCCAGGAGTTAATTCTGAGTTACCTGCTTCAACCGCCCCTTCAGAGTCTCTCTCATTAAGGTCAGGAAAACTGAAATCTGTTGAAGTCTCATTATCATTAAGGCTATCTGAAGTACCTTGGCCAGAACCACTTTCTTCATCACTTGTGAAAACAGCCCAAGATTTAGGCTCTGATGTGTTTTGCAATGGGACGCTAAGAGTTTGAGTGTCGTTGCTCTTCTTAGGTATCACACGTGCTGTCAAAGTTGGTACTGATGTGTAATTATGTCTGTCCATTCCATGGTTTATCTGACTGTCTGATGCAGCAGTTGAAATTTTCTCTTCTTCTTTATTTTTTTCAGAATGTGAACTTATAATTAGGTTGTTCTGATCCTTGTTATGGTTTACATTTGTGTTTTGTTCCTCTGCTACTGTGTCCTGAGTGTCTCTATGGGAAGTGCATGCAATACAATTACTTATAGGGAAGCCATCATCATACTCATCGTAGTCATCCTCAACTACAGAAGGCCACAAATCAGTACTGGACGTGATACTGGGAGACAACCCAGAAGATTCTCTGGAAGGAACCAGCAACCTACTCAGAGTTATAGGGATCTCGCTTTTAGGAGAAACAGCCATAACAGAAACATGTGCATTTGGTAAAGGAAGTGTGTGATGAATGGACACATCAGAATCAGAAACAACTGTAGACATATGAGCAGGATCAAAACCAACTGCAGAAATCGAAGAGAAAGTTGTAGCCTCACTTCTTTCGAAAATGCTTGAGGAGGTATGGCTGTTAGGAGCAGCAGCTACATTATCAGCTGTTAGGAAAGGAGTTGTTACAGCACTTGCTGCCTGGGGAAGAATGGCATTTGTATTTTCTAAACTGGTCAGCTGGAAGGAAACATCACTACCGTGCAAGGAAGGCATAGCCTGTTGAGCATCTTCACTGTTAAACAAACTGGATGAAACATATTCCTCACTTGCATAAGACACAAATACACCTTGAAGTGATGCTGTGGGCTTACTAAAAGTGTTTGACAACATGTCAGCAACAGTAGGTGCAGATGTAGAATGCAGAATTGTTTCTTTTGCAGCAGGACCTGGTGTCATTTGATGTAAAATTTGATCAAATGTAGAACTATCTTTATAAACCCTGGAGCTTTCAACCCACACTGGATCACTAGGTACAACTGCAGCTGTGTTTAGAGTGTCATCACCAGAAGATTGAAAGGAGGATTGAAGTAATGCTTCATTACTTAATGTAGCTGAGGTCTCATAAAGGTACGTCTGAGTTGCGGGTAACATTTCACTATAAGCAGGGGCAGAGAGAGCTTGATCTGAGATTGCACTAAGCACAGGTTTAAGCAAGGTGTCATCAAAGGCTGGAGATATAACATGCAAAGGCTGAACGGAAAGGTGATTTTCTGTAAGTTTACTAACATCAGGATCAAATATCTTAGTAGTGGGGAAAGCAAGAGAGACTGGAAGGATTCCCTTTGTGCTAGAAACAGGAAGTGGGCTTTCTTGCAGAGACATATTCTGCTTAATTGTATCGTTATTAGAAACATATGTAGAAAGTTCAGGTGTCACTTTACTTTCAGCACTGGAAGCCATTTCACTTAAAGAGGAGGAAATCTGCAGTTCTCTTTCATTGCCATATATAATATCACTTTTATGGAGATTCTTATTACCATCACTAAAGCCAGATGATTCATATGTAATTTCATCTACAAAATTGGATGAAGAAACGTTAAGTACGGTCAAAGTATCTGTGTCAGGCAAAAGGGACTCACTACCAGAGTATGCTTCAGACCAATCCGTATCACTAGATAGAGAGTGCGTAGGCTGCAGCAAAGTATCAGCTTGTGATATTACAGAAGAAGGTTTATGCAGCAGTACATCACTATGGCTGCTAAATAAAGGATCTTGACGAAATACGTCAATAGAATCATGCACAATTTCTGCAGAGTCATAAGAAACAGTAAAGCTTTGGAGGGATCCCACATTACTAGATAAAGCATAAGGAAGTTCAGACATTGTAGACAATGCATGCATACTTAAATCACTGCTGGATGGTTCAACTTGAGAAAATATTTGAGTTCTATTATGATCAAATATCAATGTCTCCGAAGCAGCATGAGTAGTCTGATGTGTCACCACATCAGCATATTGAGCAAGGCTTGGTTGTATTAATGTATCACCCTCTGCCAATGTCAAAGAAGCATGCAGGGACACCTTATCACTTGTAACAGCCGGAGTAGCACTTTGTGGAAACATTTGAGAAATCGTATACAGACGGTGAAACATTTTACTACCGGAGGAAGCAGAGGAAAATGTAAGCAAAGGTACATCATCATAGGAAGACAAGGTGGGTTCAAATGACACATCAACACTGGGAAATACAGGTGTAGCATGCAAGGTCACATCACTACCTGATGTAGCAGGGGTAGTGTCGAGCATCTGAGAGTCAAACAATAAAGGGGTGACTAGAGGAAACACTTCACTACTGGAGGAAGGTTGAAGAGGTATCTCACCATTATAGACTGGTTGAGTTGTCTGAGAGAGTACCTCACTGGCAGCAGAAGCAGAATCATATTCTCCAGAGCTTGAAGAGAGAGAATGAGGTGATAACTCAGTAGAGGAGAAAGCAAAGGTAGAGTAATGTGGCAATTCTAAATCCGCATCTGAAGTGTCTTGTGAAACCACTGGGCTGCTGGAATAGGGTATTGTTGCTGGCTTTAATCCCTCAACGTAGGCATCGGTATAGCTGGTCTGAGACAATTGCCTACTATCCGATGTATCAGGAGATTGAGCTGTTGTGTCTGTAGTATTGTGAAACCATAAATTTCCATCAGTGGAATACGTGTACTTTGGAGGCTTGTCGGAGCTTGAGGGTGCTATACCTTCTGAAACGTATTTAACAGAGCCTTGTGAAAGAACATCATGCATGCTTATATCTGGGCTTCCTGAAGGAAGAATGTCTTCTTGGGAGGTCTCCTCTGTAACCAACTGTGATGAAGAGGTGGTAAGAAAGGAACTCCAAAAGTCGTCAGATTCTTTATCAGGTATAAAAGTAGATAGTAAGAAATCTTGCTCGCTATGGCCAGTAGTGGTTATTCTTGTTGGCTCCGTGCCTGAAGAAAGGTATATGTATTCTTCTTCAATACCTTTGGTGGAGTCGGTGCTTTGAGGAGGGGTTCCTGTAATTGTTTGGGATTCCTGAAAAGGATCTTCTTCTTCTTCAGAAATTTCACTAACAGGTGGAGAAGTTGGATAATAAACTGCCTTGAAAACATCATCTTTACCATGCAATTCTTTTGTTAAGTATCTATTTGTTTTAGCATCGTTAGATTTTGTGCTCATTTTCTCTTGACTGTAGCTGGATGTAGTCACCTGGAAATCTTTCTTCCTTACTTGGTTTATTGCACTATCAGTGCTGGGAATTACTGCAGTTTCTTCATCCACCTCTGTTTCTTTTTCATCAACTTCATCCTTTGAAAAAATAACATAGGCACAAAAAGTTGAAAATGGTTATAGACAATATACACAAACCAAAGCCAAACACTGCGATATACATTTTACTTGTGGCTCCATTAAAAATAAAAAGAAAGTAATTGAAAAAAAAATCAAATAAAAATAAAAAGTCAGAAAACAAAATTACAGAAAACCTTTGAAAAGATTGTTGCTCTTAAAATAAAAGTTTTGCTGCAAGACAGGTTATAAAATCAGTATTAGAGACTGTTAGGAAATTAATTGTGATAATATTTCTTTCTTTGCATGGCCGCCATAAAGTTTGTCAGCCAAAGTATGTATCAAACCTGCAGTAGAAACGGCAAAAAATCCAAAACGATGTGGAACAGAGATATACTGTAATAAATTTAGATTTTGACTTGGGTTCAAGAAGTAAGGGTGACTGACACTTGAATTTTGTAGTTTCCTGTTTTGAAATGATAGCTGTTAAATTGTCAGTAGTAGTGTGAAAGGCACACACAAATAACACTCTCTTCATCAAGTGCCTTCCTTTCTTACCTTAGTTTACTACATTGCTAAGATCTACTTATTATAAGCAATGCCAAGAAGATATCTTTCCAAACAGCTCTAAAAAAATCAACTGTGATTCTCCTAAATGAACAATTTTGTCACTGATTTCACTGAGTTAAGTCTTAGTTCAGCATCCTGATATACAATTTTCAAAAAAATATTAAGGCATATTCTTAACTTCTGTATATATCTCCAGCTCTGAAGAGATGATCTAGAGTTATCTAAAGAGATACATCTGGAGAAGCAGTGTACATATGCATACTTATGTATGTATATGAAAATGCAGATACTATGTTCAGCTGGCAACATAGTTTGATAATTTTTCACACAATAGCAGCTTCACTTAGTTTAAACAGAGGTATTCCTTTTAAATGGCCTTTTAAAAAGGAAATAATGTCGTACCTCATATTCTTCAGTTTCCTTCAGTTCAGGAATGAGGCCAGCTTCTATAAAACAAAATATATATATATATACAATATCATCCAACATTTAAAATTGACAGAGTTTTTAATTCTGAAAAGATTTAATTGATTAGTTAATACATTTATTGGAGCTCAAAAGATGTTTTACCACCTGCACTGAGAACTATCTGTGTGGGTACTCGTGCTTGTCCAGGTATGGGTACCACAAAATACCAGGTTAAGCTACAAAATTTCTGACTGACCTTATTTTGATACTGCAACTCCTATTGAATCTGCACTGAGGAACTACATCATGGTCAAAGGAACTAAGCTTAAGAGAAAGTTTTCTATAAGCAAGTGGTGTTTAATGCAGAAATGACAGAAGAGAGAGAAAAGGTAAATCTGGGAATTAGCTATTTATCTACATTTTATCCATAAGTTTTAAAATATTCTTATCTCTACAGAATTAAACTAAAATTAAAATATTCTCGTATCTCTACAATTTAGAGGCAGGCTCTCACCTTTGTCCTCAGTGTATTTTTGGCCATATCCAGTATTCTGCTTCTGATGGTGCTCAGCAAGACAGGCTTCAAAGCAGGTTTCAATAAACCTTCAAATTTCTGGTAGGAACTGGCATGGGCCTCAAGTGATATAATGTGTGTGATTTAAGTGATAAAATCTAATACCACTTGCAAAATATTAACTTATTTTACTGCTCCTTATCCACAGAAACATCCATTCTACATTTGAATCTTCCTGAGACTATCCTAAGTGATATTCTACTTCAGTGTTTATACATCAATACTAGCATATATCCAGAAGACTGATTTATCTTCAAATGTGAATCTTTTAGTCTGAGAAGTAAATGAAATTATATCATCACAGAGTTTAATGTTAAGTTTTTTTTTTCATCATTCCCAAATGAATTTTTCTCAACATGCTCTTATAAAGGTACCATCTTTATACTTCTAATTTCTGCAAAGTCAGAAGTACATCTTTGACTTAGTTTGCATTCTCTACTGTACAGATCAATGTTGCAAAAACAGAGACATGTATTATACGCATTATCTCATTACCAAACTCAGATTATTTTATCTATATAAATCTGTAATGTTTCATATGTATAAATGTATCTTTTATATGTAGATTCTAGAATGTAAAAAATCATATCGATTGAGAAATCCTACACAAAACTTCTATAAATTGTTCTTTTATAACAGATTCTATACACTACCAAGGACTGAATTAACCACTTGACTTTGTCTCATGAACAGTACAGAGAAATGTTATCTTACCTTTGTCTCTTGGAAACCTAGGAGGCTCCAGGGGTGTTGGGGTGGGGCAAGGAAGGGGAGGGGGAGAAAATGATATTCCCTGGCTTCTCAATGATATACCTCAAACGTTGCAGACATTAATTTGAAAAGTCTTTCTACAGTGACCCATAATGTGTATTAGGCACTCAACAGACTGCAGAACATTTTTAACAGAGAAATGCTAACTATTCATCTTGTGGTCATTATTCTAGAGCAAAGGTTTAATCAGACAATCAGAAAAATAAAAAGTGGTGACCCTATTATAGTATGTGTTCTTTAATTCCACAAGCAGGAAACTCCAGTTCATCCTGCTATTTCCATGGAAAGACATTAAAATAAATATATTAAAAAAAAGTTTATATATACATATATATACACACACACACACACATACATATATATCTCTGTGTATATATATATATATAAAAATACATATATTAACTACACTACATGTCCAGGTATTTTACTAAGCCTTTTAGAATTTAGTTGGTCATAAAAGAAAAGTATTTGTCAGAATCATTAGACACAATACTTATAAAAGTTCTATTAATCTTGCTCCTGAATTTTTGTTTTAATTGCATATTAGCAATGTGGTAGCATTCCCCAACAGAAAAACCTTCCCGCGCCTCGCAAAAACAACCCATTGATGTAGGTCAATAAGCAGATTCTTTTTATTTTTTTATGGAATGACATCTTGATTAATCTATAGCTTACATTTTTAAATAAAATAATTAAATGATTAGTTTGAAAGTTTTAAAGAAGTGTTTTCATTTAACAGTGCATTTCAATGATAAATGAAGAAACGATAGAACACATACCAAAAAAGACAACTATTTCCCTACATTTATGCTCCACACAAATTTAGAGAAAAAAGTACTTAAAACAATCTAATTTGTATAATAATTTTCATGTCACAAACTGTTTTCAATTCTGTATTATCTTGTGTAATAAGACAAAAGACACAACAAAGTCTCTTTCTTCCATTTAAATTAAATTTCAGATATCTACAATAATCAGCACAAAATTACAAAAAGCATCCCCTAAATGAAACATTTAAGATACCTTAGTGTTTTTCTAGGACAACAATCACTCACAAAAACAAGTAACAATAAAATTGCATAGTTAGATCCTCACAAAGCATTGCTGACAGCATGAGCTCCCAGGAAGGAGACAGCATTTGAAAGCAATATCCCAAGCTGTTTCTTTTTCCTTTGATAAATTCCAACCACAGTCTCCATACCAAAGGATGAGAGGAGAGATATTTATTTTATTTCCTGTGTCAGTTGAAGCTTGCAAGTATCACTGATATTAACTGCACTGCAAACTACCACAGAATTTTCAACACTATACAAACTGTATCTAAAGAGTAAAAAGCATGCATTTAGATAAATATTCAAAACATTGCTCTAATAGCAAATGACAAATTGGTAAATAGTGGATGGACTTTTCTTTAACCTGACTGCCACCTTATGCATTCAGTTCCCTTCAGTTTCAGTAGAAGCTGGACAGATAAGCCATGTAGGGTAGCCGGTCACTGTCACTTCTTGGAAACTAGTACCATACCCATGCACAGCCTTACTACATGCGACTGCTCTGAAAAGGTTAGATGAACATAAAAATTCAATTTAAGCTGATTAAATTGATTTTAGAAATCAGCAGTGAAGACAGAAGCTTGCAGAGTGTGTGGCCCAAAATAGATCCTTCTGCTTATGAAGTATTCCTGAGAGCAAGAGATCTGTGGATCACCTGGAGCCTGCGGAGCCCTCACCAACCCTTCACAGAATCACAAAGTGGAAAAATGCCTTCTCTTGAACGTTTTTTCCAAAGTAAAAGTCTAAAACAATAGTAGAAGTTAAGTTTTCTGAGAATCAAATTTAGGTTGCGTAGTATACACAAACTACCTTCATATTAAATGTGGCTATTCCAAGGACAGAATTCTTCCCATAAAAGGGTCTTTCTATTGCTTCTGCATGATTTATGCCCCATTTAAGCTCTTAATAAGTAGATTAATTGATCTGGAGGTCACTGTAGCAAATTTGATCTTAATTATAATGTTTTACTCAGAGTAATTCTTGAATATGAACATTTATTTTATGCTTTATGAGTCAATTTTATCTCATGTCTTCATGCTGAAGATAACTTTTCTTTCATAAATTCACAAGCAGGAGTTCCAAGAAATCCCCTTTTGCCTCAAGATCTACAAAGCAGATCACAAAACCAATTTGAAGTTACAGTTGTAACCAGCAAGTTACTCTGAACAAATCTTTCTCATTAGACATTTACATTCCCATATTTCCGTTGTTTAATATTTGCAATAAAGTTAATTCAGATGTAAATAATTAGTAAATAGATGTAAATAAGTCATTAAGTAGTATTAGAAATGAATGGAAGTTTATTTTTTTCCTTTAAAATTATATCCAAGGGTGAGACTTCATATAACTTATTTATAGAGCAATGTACATTCATAGTAATTATCCCAGTTAAATAAAAGGAGTTTTTCTCTGACCTTTCTGTATTCACCACTTTCTTCCACCACTGTGGAAGAGTGAACTTAAAACAATACAAAATACACTTAATAACTTTGTCTCAATTTAAAAAGCAGAGCAAAAAGACAGATTTTTTGAGACTCTCAAAACTGAGACACTCATTTTGCTCTTTCATTTTTAGTTACAAGCATCTTTCTCTTTGTTTCTCAAAAAAAAAACCCCAAATACCCTTAAAATATCTCTGAAACCAAGAAGCAGTTTTATTTTGCGGTCCATCAAAACTCTTCATTTGACCTGAAATAATGACCCTCAATTTTACATCTCTTGAAAGACTAGGGAAATGCCTTAGCCTGAAACAATTACAAAATGTCAGAACTGCTTCAACATTGAAAATATAGGTGTGTAAACAGTTAGAATATGTAAATTATTTAACTCTTTTCTTTATGGTGTTTTATTTAATAAGAAGAAAAATTACGATAAGATTACTCTCATACACATTCATTTGCTTTAATGCAACATTAAGGAGTCATTTAAATGCTCAAATGAAAGGAAATGTAAAAAATAACATTTTCATAATTATGCTAGCTTGTTCACATTTCATGTTTACATTATTATGTCTCCTAGGCTTTATTTTCTATTTTTTCTTTCAAAACAAAATTAGTGCTGTGTTTGTGTAAAAAAGGCAGAAGAATGTAAGATCTGCTATGTATAACATTTATTGCATCAAAAATTCTTATCGGGTTTGTATACAAAGCTCAGAGCAGACATACTGGAAGGCAAGAAGAATTTTGCAGAACACATTTCAAAGATCATCACTAATCTTGCTGCTGAGATTAATGCAAAACTACTGCTGACTTCACCAGGGTGAACACCAGGGAGGCAGTTGCTGGGGGCTATGTCCATACTGGGGGCTGCTGATGTCCCCAGTAGAAGCCTATCCCAAGCCTGGTGACCAGCAGCATGAGACTGCCCATTGGGGCATCATGTGGTCCACCCTGTTATGCTGTCTTGATGACCAACCACCCCCAGGAGCTCCAGGAGGTGCTTCCAACTGGGTCTCACTCATCCCTGATGGAAGGACACATCTATGGCAGAGAAGCGAGGTGTCCTACGGATACTCCCTGTGCAAACCTGCAGTTTTTGCAATGATGGTCTTTTGAGTTTTGGAAACACCTTGGTATTGAATTGTCTATTCTTTAATAATGAAAATGCTAAGCTGTTCATTTGTGACTCAATGTAGAAACGGTTAAGGGAGAATACAGATGAAACCTCTTCTCAGACATTTTTTTCAAACACAAGTGAATGAATTCATAGAAGGAAGTGGATGAATATCAAAGAGGTACATAAAGGAAAAACAGAAAAATGAAACAGGCAGAATGGCAAACGCTATCACGAAAATAAACAAACAAAAAAGAAAATTTTGGTAGATAATAGCATGAGAAGACTCCAAAATATCCTCCTAATATATTCTAAAGACAATTTAAATGTTTCTTGAAAGTTTGTAGGTGGTACATCCTATATCCTCCCCCCGACTTCTTTCAGTCAGACACTGTCATGTTGCTTTAAGCCATTACTATCATTAGTTCAGAATTAATGTGGTAAAGATCATGAAGAATCATATTATTTCTCACTGTGAAAAAAATGTTCTTTTGAAATGAAAAACAAACCTGTTTTCTCAAGAATATCTCAATACCTCTAAGAACTTTGCCAATCTGCACATGTAAAATAAAACTTATGTAACCCACAGATGGACAATAGAAATTCAAGACCTCAAATAAAAAAGTAGTTTGTTGCATGATCAAACGGTTTTTAGTTTGCTTCTACAATTGATTACAGAGTACTGAATTCAGAAGACAGCTTTCCCTATCTTCGACAGGAGCCTTGTCTAAATCTACAGATTTCAAGGAATTATTAAAGACAAGATCAAGCTTCATGTTATAGCTTCAAATTATTTTGTATTTACCAGCAGGCTGAAGAGGTAAATCTGGCTTTGAAATGAGTAAGATTTGCTAGTTAGGTCTTTACATTTTTTTGCAAGGAAGCATTAAGAAGCAAGGGAATTCCATTAACTCAAGTGCTTTGAAATCAAACTCCAAGTAATCAAAGTAATCAAATTTCAAAATCAATTGATACAGATTTGTAAGTTATATATTCAGTTTATATTAATAGTTTCCTTAAAACTTTAGCTATGTGGATTTTTTGGGGGCATCAAAAGGATGTTTAACCATAGAGAAATAATACCAATCATGGCTTTATTTCCCTACATTATATCACTAAATATTTTAAGAGCTAAAAAATTATCATGCAGTCTCTCACAGGTAATGTTTACAAGGAATAGAGAATTATATTATGATAAAATATCTGTAGCAAAGGACAAGCTGAAGGTTAACTGTGATGATTTTGAAATTTCATTTTAGCATAGTTTGATAGACATGCAATTTAACTGGTTTGCAAACAAAATATTTCCCTGAATATATATGATAAAAATGAGCCCTAAGCACAAAACAGCACTTACCTGGGTCTTCTAAAGGCATATCAACAATGACCTGGTCGCTGTGCTTTCCATATAGACCATTAGAACAAACAGCAACTATTTGAAGAACATAACTTGTATTGGGCAGCAGATTATTTAGAATAGCCCCCTAAAAGAAAAACATTGTTTAATCATTTACTTGTGAATATTCATCAAGTTATGGGAGTTCAATTTTAATAACACATTTTTAACACAAACCATAAAACTCATTCTACTGCTATTACAATACACGCTTTTTATATTTTGTTTTCAGAAATATTTGTCATGTAACTTAAAATAAGAAATTGATTTTTTTCATGGAAGATACCAAGCAAGTACATAATTATTTAGTATTTAATATCAGTTTAAGTAATATTATCTCTAATAAGCTTATGCATTTCTAAAGAAGGTGAAGGGAACTGATCACCTAACTGAAATATCATGAAACCATAAATCACCAACTTAATACTTATAGCAGTTCCATGCAGATTCTGATTCTTTCCTCATTTGCTTGTGTAGATCATTCAGTGCTCGCACATTAGTGAACACTGAAGTACATACAGATCACTATTAATTGACTAAGGGTTATATAGCTAAGGAAATTTGAGCTTGACATGCTCATAATTATTTTGGGGGATGTTACACCCTTAAAAGCAAGTAAGAACAGCAATTTAAGAATGCCTTCTCTCATATGGACAAATACAGGCTTTTTCTTTTTCTTTTTCTTTTCTTTTATTTTTTTTTTATTTTTATTTGTCTGTACAGCCAAATTAATTTAATTAGCTGTACAGCCAAAGAATGAAATATAGCCTCTTTGGGTTGCAGCCAAAGAAATACCTTTTCATTGAATCTGTCCCAGTTATTGGTTAGGGCTTTAAAAAAATTAACAATGTGTGCTTTGCCATCACTACTTCGTATGAAACATGAAGAGTTTACAGTTACCAAGTCCTGATACCCATCTGTCAGAAACTCATGCTTGGTCTGGTCTTCTCCATCCAATTGCTGATAAAAAACAGCAAATCTCTCAATCGTGGTATCGTACACAACCCGAGGTCTTTCCCATGTAACAAGAAGGCTAGTATAATTCTTTGGATCAGACTGGACATTTTCAGGTTCTGAACTGCAAACTAAAAAGAAAAAAAAAAAAGAACCTGTTATTCATGAAATTACTCTATTGAAATGCTGATCTACCTCCTGTCAAAGACAGTGTAGGCATTTCTTGTGCCCAGTTTTTTGCTTTACTCTAAAATATGAGCAATTGAGATAGGATTTTAAAACTCAAAAGCAAGTTATCTGGGGACTAAGACCCCTCCCCGTCTACTCTTTTCAAATTACGTATTTTGAGAAAGATTCATAACCAGTCTCCAGGAAATGAAATATAGAGCTCAAAACATGAGGGTTCCTATGTATGTCCTGAGAGAAAATGTATTGTCATTCTATTTTCATTCTTTCATTCTATAAACATATATCATTCTATATTTCCATGGATCTATCACAGAAGTACTGGAAGAGCATGGACTGGCTCAGGACTGGTTCACGTTTGACCTGAAATACTGTTTTCCTTCCTTGCCCTCATCATCTCCTCTGCTGGGTTCAAAAAGAGAGATGAAGAATGGAGATGACTGTCAAAATTTTCACTATTTTTCTTTTCCAATTTGGAACCTCAGTGACTAGATTTGTTCTCCTATCTTAAAATGAGAGATAGGGATCCATGGCATTTCCACTTACGAAAATGGTTTCCCATCTATTTAAAACTGCATAGTTGTAGTGCTTTGGCTGAAACAACCTTCCAACTGGATATCTGCCCCTATCCTGCTCTTTGGAAATTTCCTCTAAAATGAATGATATTGGTATCACTCAAAAAGCATTTCTATTGACTTCTACTTTATTCCATCTATAAAACTTGACAAAATCATTAGTTAGGTTTTATGCAGTTTACAATTTATTTAAATCTTATATATTAATATGACCATAAAATGGATACATTTTTAATTGCAAACTGTTTAGTTTGCTAGGCTATATTGCACAGGTAACTATATAATCATTCCAGACTTGCAGTAAATGAGAAGACACGTTTTTTGAGTCTAAAAGACTATTTAAAATAAATTCTAAGTGCCTAGCAAAAAGCAAGCAAAACAAACTAGCTACCTAATTAAGAAAGCAAGAGTTATAGATTCTTAGCAGCTGTCCTAAAAAAAGCAGTCACCTGATAACACTTTTGGTGGGCCATACTACAGTTCTAAAAGGAAGGGGAAAAATGCTTTCAACTAACTTTGCAATTTCCCACTTGAACACAAGAGGGACTCAAAACTAAAGATTTTGAAAGAGCAAATTTTTGTAGTCCCATGTGCAGCTGGGAAGTTCTACGATGCTCTGGTTTAATGGAGTCAATGAAAGATAAGTCGTGATAATTGTGTGAGTGTGAGTGTGTGTGTGAGAGAGAGATCTAACAGTGGAGGCAGCATTAATCGCTGTAATTTAGTTTGAATTCTATAGTTATACTAGATTGTAAACTTTGAGTGTGTTGTTCTATGTATCTGATATGTTAATTTACTTATTAAATCGTATTAACGGAGATATAAAGAAAGAGTGAAATAAAAAAAAAAAACCAAAAACATGAGTACATGCCATTAATTTACTTCACCTTGTTATCTTAGCCCATTTCCACCAGAGGGCACAAGGAAATCATCAGTTCAGCAAAGACTATTCTCTTCTCACCTTAAGCCACAGTGGGGAAGACCTAAGTTCTGATTTTATATTTCACTTCATTTCATTTCATTATTTTATTTTTTAAAGAATTAAACTTGCATTCCAAACTCTCTGCTACTGTCCTCTGCCTTCCTCCCTTTCTTATTTTTGCATGTGAGTGATTTTTTTTCTGAAATCTCTGACTACGCTTAGGCTGCTGTCTCTATTATAATTTCTCTGTCTTTGTCATGTGTTTTTTTCCAGCCTTGGAAACCAACCTTGTTTTTTTCCCAAGCATAAAAGAAACGTTATCTCCACCTCTGTTCTCCTTTTGGGGCATCATCTTATTCTTTGTGATCACCACAATAGGGACCAAAAATATTCCTATATGATATTCCTCTGCATATTATTTCCTTCCCAACCTGATGTCCTTTTCCTCCCTTTCAGTGCCTCCTCATCATTTTGCCTGGGCTTCTCCTTCCCTCTTCAGCCAATATTCCTTAGGCAGACATGAAATGAACACAAGGGAACGAGGCATTTTTTAAAGACCTAGTGATGAGGAAATGTTGGTAAGTTGAAATAAGGCAGAAAATGCATACAAAATTGTTTAAGAGCTATCCTAGATGACATTTATTTCTGTTAATTAAATAATGTGATGTGTTCATTGAAGATCACAAAGGATTTAAGCTAAATATTTAAATTGCCTGGGTACCTGACAACTATTACAATGACAACTTCACAAGGTTGATATGTTCTAACTTTAAATGTCTGTTGTGTATTTGTAAGGTTAAGTGAAGTTCACCTTATGGCATGAATGACAGTGACATAAATGTAAAGAAAGTAGCACTGAACCACTAGAATGAGGATACACTTCCAGAAACCCTTTCTGAGTTGAGCAAGGTTGACTTCGGCCATGTGGTGACCCAATGCAATGAATTAATATGTATTAGAAGCAATTTTGGAAATTAAGGTTTAAACTACCACTCGTTATTGTTTGGAAAAGAAGCAGAAATTCCTTTCTCAACACACTTTGTGCTTAATGTGAGGTCATGTACTTCACAAATTGTTTGAAAATGAATATGTGAATTAGATGCTTAGAAGATTAAAGGGATATAAAGGGTTAGTTTTTTTTTTGGAGCTGTTTCTCCTAGGAAACATCTCAGTGCCTGTTATTTGTTTTGTTCCTGCCGAACCAACATTATAAAAGAAACAGGTTTTGCTGCTAGAAAACTGACTGCCCTTTTAGCAGAAAAGATAACGATTTTGTTACTAAAATGGAAAGTAACAATAAATAAAGCATTAAAATTACACCTGGATTTAAGTTTCTCTGAACTTGACACATATTTTGAATAAATCAAGACATAGTTTAGAGGGAACACCGGGTATTCCACCTTCATGATCAAGCTAGAGAGGCAAGGCAAACATGTAAGCACAAAGTATCCTAAAGCAGAGCAAATGTCTTGAGTTTTTGAGTCTTTACCAGCGCTGTCACATAATAATTTACTGAAAATAACTGCTGTATTTTACCCAGTTCTATTTTGCAGGACAAAATTTTCCTTTTGGAGAAACCTGTTTTGTATATATCTTCACTAAATCCAGGAAGATTAACAAGAATCGTATTTCTACACTTACTCATATGGCATTAATGTAAAAGTATACAGGGTGAAAAGTTACATAATAAGTCCAGTATATGTTTCTCAAGTTTATAGGAATAAATGATGATTTCTAGCTGTAAATGCATTTTCATGCAAGCTTGGGGTGGTAGAGATAAAGGTTTAAAATTTCAGAAAGCTTTTTATAATTGAATCATCAAGGATACTTTGCCAAGATTAGTTATTTTAATCTGATTCTTACATACATATGCTTATCACATAGGAAAACTACATGTATCTCCAAGTATTCAGGTTTGCAGAATAAAATATCTCCCATACATTCACTAAAGCAGCTCTTACACATCAAAAATGTTGACTTTGTCTCTGCATGAAAATATAATATATTGCTGAAACTTGAATAGAGAGATTTTAGCCTTTCTAAGAAAACTTATCTCTGACTAAGAAAACTGGACTCTGCATTATAAACAACAGGAGAAAACTGAGTTCCCAAGTTTCACAACATAAACATCATTTTTCAGTTAGGTATGAGAGTCTCAGGTCCCACTCTTGCCATTTTTTCCTGTGTTGTCCAAAGGAATTTCAATTTTTTATTTTCTGTTTACTACTACTAAGTTAAATCAAATAAGAAACATGCACATCTATTTATTTGCTCTTCAAAACTTATCCATGCTACAGTTTTTACATCTGATTATTTAAACTTAGTGATTCCTAAGGCTTTTATTTATCTTCTGTTAAAATGCTAACGTAAAATCAAAACATAAATGCTCTTCTAATGCTGCACATTAAACAAATCCAGCAATTGCATTTTGTGTCTATATATTCATGTGGTATTTTGTGTCTATTTACCCATGTGTATACATGTTTATATATGTATGCATACATGAGATTGCAGATACATACTGCATATAAATATTAACATACATGTAAAATATATATAAATAAGGAGATTTTAAATTTTACTGGTTGTCTTCTGTTCCCCCTTGCCTATGGACAAAAGAGAGTTTTAACCTATATTTGATTACTTTAAATACCTAGTTTGGAATAAATGCTACATGTGTTTGTTGCCAGGGTGATGTGAGCACAGAGCACTTTTTCTTAAACTCAGTAGATTGAAACCCTTTTGTTCTGTGTTATGCAAGTCTATCAGTCAACGGTGAAGAAGCTTATTGTCTACCTTGAAACTGGAAGCTAGAGTAAAAGAAAAATTCTGTGCTCTTGATATGCTAAGTATGAAATTTTAATTGCACATACAGAGGTATTTGGTTTGATCTGTACAACACATTTAATCATTACATGAAGCTCAAGGTGCCACCTGTTTTAAATGGTATAACCAAATGCAGATAGGGATCCTCAAATCCATAGACTGGGGCATTCCTTCTTTATGGATACTGAACTCACAGAAAACAGAACAGACTCGCAGAAACTCTGCGACAATGCGGAATGGGCCCGGTTGGAAGCAACTTCCTGCACAGCTAAACTTGCACACTGCTGTGAGAAGGCACATGGTAAGCTCCTTCAGGAATGATAGGAAGGGATCACATGGCATGACAGGAAGGGAGCAAGGCCCCTTCATACACAAGATAATCCAGTCCATCTCCGTACAAAACCAGGTTAGGGTGGCACAACTGGCAGTGGCTTCTTCCTATTGCAGCTCCTGAACTGAAGAGGTCAAGGCCAAGGGAAACGCAGCCATCAAGGAGGCAAGTGGATAACAAGGGCAGCAGGGTCATGGGCTCTGTCTTCAAAGCCCTTTGCCCATCACATTTCTTCACCATAGATTGACTGCTTTACAAAGGACTGAAAAGATTCATATCTTTCCTATGGCATGGACATTAGCAGAGGTGCACTACTCTGTGATTAGGCTCCCAGAGGCCTTCATGAAAGAGGGATTTTGGGAAAGACTCTCTTCAATTATCTGCTGTGTCTGTGGGCTATATTTTGAAAGAGCAGTTTATTTGTCCTAATTTGCTCAACTGTTGCAGCTCAATTCTGTATTCCTTCTCCATGTTGCATAAAAAGTTCAAAGACCAATCTGTTCATGGGCACATATCTGAAGAGTTCATGAGAAACTGCAGTCAAAACAGAAACGTCTCTGGCCGGCTATAGGATTGAAGCAGTAAAGCTGTCCTGAACTGTGCTGTGAAGCAAAGAAGCACCACGTGAGTGTGCAGGGGTCCCTGCGGCACTCCTGAATGATGGACATCTCACTTGGTTCCATGCACAGAATCCTTCCAGCTGGAAGGGAAACAACATTCACCCAACTAAGACAAACTAAAATAAAAACATGCTTGTTTTCATTCTGGAGAATACTTATGCCACACATTTTAGTCATTTGTACATATCAAATTAATTACAGTTCAGTACAACTGTGTTTAAGAATCTATCCCCATCCTAGCAGCAGTTCAGCCTCAGCATTTACTGCTAGAGGGTGAACAGTCTTCCTTTGCTTGTGAATATAAAAATAATTTACTTTCATATTTAGTTCTAGATTTGGCTTTCCATTACATAACATACTGTTTTGGTCATGTAGCCTCCACTGTTTTAGGTTTTAGAGTAAAAGAGAGAACAGAATTTGGCTTCCAGGATTCTCTGTACCTATATCACCTTGAGGATGATATTAATTTTATGATCTTACTCCAGTTTCTTTTGGAGAAACATCCACATTATACAACTGAGAACAAGATGGGTTTGTAGAATGAAATCCTCGTGTAGCCCCTGAAATAGCATCTTTGTTTAGATCTGAAACCCATGAAAAGGGCAGTGCAAGAAAGCTTGAACTGATGTGATCTTCATTGAACATTTGGTCAAGACAAGCTTTTAATTTTCCACTTCGTTTAATCTGATGTTTATGAGTGCTTGTTTTTTTTCTTCTGAAGTGATAGATTTATTAATAATCATAGTGTGCTATTTTCTGCACAATTTAAAATGTGTATCCTGATATAAGAATGAACTTTGTATTTAAAATTCTTTCCACCTGTAAAGAGAGGAATATCTGTTCAACAAATACCTGCTTCATGAATTTCTTCTTGTCCAGTGTAAGAGGAAAACACTTGCCCAAAGAACTCATATTGCTGTTCTCTGAAGTTGTTTTGCAGATAGTCCATCAGCATAACATAGCCAGACTGCTGCATTGTAAGGACTTCACAGAATACAGATAGCTAAAGAAAGTGAGAAAAGAAGAAATGTCAGAAGTCATAGCAAATTAACTAGATTCCAATAACAGACAAAACCCAGGGGAGGAGCTGAGGTATAAACTCTCCCAATTGATTTCTCTCAGGCGGTACTGAACCTTTTTTGGTCTGTACCAGCAATGAATCATTACTCCACCTCTATTCCCTAACCACTTTGCTGCTGGAGCAATTCCTGACCCTTTCACCACCAGTTATCCTGGGGAATATGGAAAGAGTGTTTTATGCTTTTCTTAATATAGGCCAAAAGTCAAAATAGCTTTTGGAGTTAGAAAGTGCATGGAAGTTAGGAAGTCCTGGAAGGAAAGCAAAGACTCAGAATCTAGTACTAAACTCAACAAGGCAAAAGATAACTCATGTTAGTAATGTACTGGTATAGATATAAATGATAAAGACATAGCTAGATTTAACAGCTTCATTAAAAAAATCTAAATAAAAGGAATATCAGTTTGTTGTCTGGTAATGAATACTATGAACTTTTAACACATACATAAAAACTGTTTTTCTCTGGAGTTAAGAACAATTGTGGATTTAACACATTAAATAAGTGACCTGGTCTTCAGAAATAGTAATGGTATCTTTAAATACAATCCATTCAACTGTTTCAGAGCAGGGAGGAGCTGATAAAGATCCATTATATGTGTAATACTTGTCTGTTGCATTTGGTAGAAGGTTCAGCAAAACAAATGGCTCTAAGGCAGCCTGCTTTCCTGAAAAAAAAAAAAAAAAAAGACCTTCATAGTCATACAACTAAAACATTGGAGAAACACTGAATAAATAGAACTACAACTCTACAAACAAGTTTCTGTTATGGAAACAAGCTAATTTTCAATGTATTCAAAATTCCACTTGGCGTGCAGGCAAATTACTGTCTAGTTTCAGTAAATATCGTTCAATAACAATTTTGTGTAGTTGGGAAAATCTAATAAGTTATGTCAGTAATAAAGTAACCAATTCACTCTTTCCCAGTGACTCCCTCACTGATAATTATACTAGCACGTCTGAGATCTAACTAAAGAATTCCAAAGAAAAAATATTTAAATCATTGAACATGGTCTCATGAGACGGTTTCAAACTCTACCTAAATTTGGTCAAGCTGTTGCATTCTCACAGGATCTTAGCCTCTGCAGAAACTTAATGCCAGGGGAAATATCACCATGTTAGACCTGAGTTATATCACTCCCATGTATAAAAGCATCACTTTTGCAGATCTTGGAGTTTTAACATGGTGATAATACAGTGAAAAGCTGTAACAGATTTACACAAAGCAAGAAATGAGGAAAAATCCTCCTCTGGGAGAGTATGACATTTCTCTTTATTGTCCTGGGAAAATGCCACCTTTTTCAGGTCATTGATTTACCTGGGGCCTGCTCTGATCAAATTGTGTCTGAGGAGAAGCAGAAGATCAACCCAGAAAACAGCAACTTGATATTCTTATGATTGTATTTTTAATTTCAGGGCGATTATCAAGGATCTGCTTTATTGATAGATACTTCCAAAATAGTATTTATTATTTATATCTTGGAATAAATGAATATTAATACTGTAATACTGTCAACTTGTGGTTTCCTAGATATATTTCTTCTTGAAACCCTAGGTTGGAGTGCTGACCTGTCCTTGCCTTCATAATTCCTTCCAAATTCAGTGAGAACAATAAGTTACATCAACGATTTGTTATAAATCATTGGGGTTTTTTTTCTGTACAGGGACTGTTATTGCCCTGAGTTAAGTTTTAAGAGCTAGCTCTTCCCCTCTCTCTTAGCAAGATATAGTAAAATGGAAATGTATGTCAGAATTGAGAAAAGCACCTTATTTCTGCTGTTTACATGTTATTCACCTTCAGATTTTAGCTATTATCATTGAGTGTCTGTCTAATGCATGGCAATTGTAATAATGCAAAATGAATGGCTAACCCATTTTAGACAGAGACGTAGGCCCATGAAACTTTTCATTTGTACTATGAAAACTATTACGGACTTCGCACCATTGGATTTAAAATACCATTTAATTAGATTGACAATCTAGAGTCTAAAACCAAATATCTCTGTGGAATTATGAGAGACAGGTTATCTAAAAGGAACAAGACAGTTCACAGAATCACAAAATGGTTGAGGTTGGAAGGGACCTCTATAGCTCAACTAGTCCAAACCCCCTGCTCAGCAGGGAAACCTGGAGCACACTGATGTGTTTATAGAAGCCCTTCCCGTTGTCCCTGACATCTCTTGCTAACTCTAATTCCAAATGGGCTTTGGCTTTCCTTGTTGCATCCCTGCATTCTCTGACAATGTGTCTATATTCTTCCCATGCTCAGTTACTCTAATTCAAATATGCAAAACAGAAGATATGACTGACAAGGACAGATCACCTATAAAGCAGACAAGGACACATCATGTGCTATACATGTTCCTTGAGAATGAGCAACTTGATTTATTCATGACCTGAATTTTCAGAGCTCATTTGCATTTTATTCAAGAAAATCATATTTTGCTCAGTGCTGAAGTGCCACATACTAGCTGTAGTTTGAGTCTTGGTGTCTGTAGTTTTTTAACTCCTACTCAGGGCTGTAGGGCAGCATCTGCCTTGATGAAATACTCTTTCATCTATGTGTCTCATGTAATAAGACCCTCAGAAATAATGAATCCTATCTGCTATTCATGCCCAGCTCCTCTCTCTGTAAGTTAGAAAATGTAGTCCTTGTAATATTTATTGATTTTTTTTTTTCCTGACAAGATCAATTGCAATTTTAGCATGGTTCCTTCAAAAACTCTTAAAATAGTGACACCAATAGCCTTAGCACTTTAAACTCATCAATCCTAAAGGATTTTACAAAATACAAGTATTCTAAGGTATAGAGAAACTGAGACAAAGTAAGCCTTTTCTTTAGGATTATGGCCACGATGCAAAAAATATCCCTGCTGAAGACAGTGCACATTCATATGTTTCTTGAAGCCACTGTGAAATAGAGTTAGAAATAGAGTTAGAAAGCTAAGGAAGTATGGGTGAGATGAGTTGACAGTGGGGTGGATTGAGAACTGGCTGGATGGCAGAGCTCAGAGGGATGGCAGAGCTCAGAGGGTGGTGATAAATGAGGCCGAGTCTAGTGGAGGCCAGTGGTGCCCCCCAGGGATCAGTACTGAGTTTAGCACTGTTCAACTTGCTCATCAATGACTTGGACAAGCGCACAGAGACTTGCACTTCCTGTGCAAGTTTGCAGATGATAAAAAATACCCTGGGTGGAGTAGATGGACACTCTAGAAGACTGTGCTGCCATTCAGAGGGACCTAGACAGGCTGGAGAGTTGGGCAGAGAGGAAACTCATGCGATTCAACAAGGACTAGTCCTGGGAAGAACAACCCCAGGCAGCAGTACAGGTTAGGGGGTGGTTGACCTGCTTTAAAGCCATTCTGTGGAGAGGGATTTGGGAGTCCTGGTTGGCAAGAAGTTAACTATGAGTCAGCAGGGTGCCCTTGTGGCCAAGAAGGCCAATGGGATCCTGGCCTGCATCAGGAGGAGTGTTGCCAGCAGGTCGAAGGAGGAGATGATCCTGCCCCTCAGCTCTGGTGAAGCCACACCTGCCACACCTGGAGTACTGAGGAAAGAGTAAGCGAGCTGGGCCTGTTTAGCCTGGAGAAGAGAAAGCTGAGAGGAGATCTGATCAACATGTGTAAGTAGCTGAGGGGAGAATGTAGGGAGGATGGGGTCAAGCCTTTCTCAGTGGTGGCCAGTGATAGGAAAAGGGATAATGGGTGTAAGTTGAAACATAGGAAGTGTGTTTTCTCAGATCCTCCATGTGAGGATGAGGTGTCCTTCCTCCCAACTCCATGTGAGGAAGAACTTTCCTGTGAGGGTTACTGAGCTGTGGAACAGGCTGCCCAGGGAGACTGTGGAGTCCACTTCTCTGGAGATCTTCCAAAGCTGTCAGGATGCCACCCTGTGCCACGTGCTCGAAGATTTCCTGCTTTAGCAGGGAGTTGGACTAGATGATCCCTAAAAGTCCCTTCCAACCTCAACCATTTTGTGATTCTATGATTCTGTGATCCCATACTGTGAGGAATTTTAAAATACCATAGTGACATTTGGTTTCAATACTCCAAGTGCAAATGTAATACAAATGGAGTAGCTCAGATATACACAAGGGTAAATGCAAAAAAATATAATCTCCACAGAGTGTACAGAATACTAATATTCATATAACTTACACTTGTAAGGTACATCTTGGATTGTTGCAATGGTGTTATTTTCGTTCTTACAGTATATGAAATTCAGAAATTTATGACTAAGAAACATCTCAAAATAAATCAACCTTTAGAGTGTTAGAGTGTAAATTCCTTGTGATAATTGTATTTGTTCATTTATACCTACTGCTGTTACTACAAATATATTCAATTTGGGGCAAATTAAATAAATAAATATTTTTGTTTCTAATAAAATAGATTCAGCTAAGCATTAGCAATCTGCATAAAACCATCCCTTCAAGAAGTTTTACATAATTATGATGAAATTAAATTAGTCTAATCAATAATAAATATTAGGGATGAACTTACCAAAACGACTAACACTATCTACTCCATTAATTACTGAATTATAATCCGGATTGTCTTCTGGCCCAATCTGTTAAAAAGAAATTGTATTTTTTTTTCGAAATAGGCTTTATGAAAAAAAATAAGGTCACATTTTAACATGACAATTACAGATCATATAAAGCAAAACAAGCATGTTTGTCTTTTAGATTTTTTTGTGAAAATAAATTAGAAAACATGTACAATTTTTTGACTCACAGATCATACATTGGAACCAGTTAAATTCAGTTTGAACATCTGCTACATTTCAAAGCTTATTTAATGCCACAAAGAAATATTTGTTTACCTCAAACAAAACTGATAAAGCTCTTAACTTTCCATTTCCTTTGATTGCCTCTTCAAAATTTGTAAACTGATCTGCATCATAGCAGTAGATTTGCATCTGCAAATAAAATATATTCAAATGTTACATATACAAAATACATTTTTTTTAATTAATACATTTACTTAAATTCCTAGTCCTTTAAAAATGAATTTATTATGAGTACATGGCTTTGTTGTACATCTCACATGCATTATCTAAAAATTCAGAGTGGAATTAATCAGCTTTTAACTATCTATGGACTATCAGTTTTAGAAGACCATTAAGTTTGCACGAAATATCCTTTCAAGGAGCATGTCACTTGCTATCAACCATAAAATAAGACTAGGTTATACTACCTTATACTGGACTGCTACTGATTTAGAGGTGAGTCCCTAAGTCAGGGGTAACCACCTCATAAGTTACAATAAGGCAGAATTTCCCCATGGAACCTGTCTCAGAGTAAATTTAGAGAAGCATTGGCAATAAAAAATTGCCAGGTATTCCGGGACCTCATTGAAGTGTAGTGCTGAGCATTGGACCCAGTCCAGCCGCCTTTCTTTGTTGCAGTTGGTAAATCCCTTCTCATGCAAGGTCCCGGATACAAGGTGAGAGTTTGCTACTCCTGCTGTACCTTTGTGAGACAGCAATGGTGGAGCATCTTCTGCTTGATGCCATGGCAGGAGTATAAGTGGAAATTTTACAATGGCTCTGAGATAGGGAAAGCCAGCATGCTGGCCACAGCTCTCCATGGAGCTGGGGAAGAGACCACCAGTGCCCCACTGCTTTGCTCCAACAGCTCCAAAACCAATAGCATTTTTAGTGAGGAGCAGCATGGTTGGGTGCCACAGCACCTTTTGGTCTGAAAATGAGCACAGCCTCTTTAAGGGGTAGGAGTGTGCAATCAGAGTGCCTCCATGGCACTCAGCTCATCAGGAGCTGCTTCTCCTCTGCATTCCCCAACTCCTACAAGCTGGGAGGGACCGTCACTATGTCTGTGGGAGAAGCAGCGAACTGGAGCATCCTTAGCTGGGCTCAGCAGGAGCCTCGAGCTTCTCTTGTGCGCTGGCTCCTGGCTTGCCCTCTAGCTCCTGGGTCCAAGCTTGGCCAGGGTTTTGAATCCGTGCAGCTCAGCAGCTCCTCGGTGCAGCTCCTGCTGTCTCATTACAATGCCTTAGTTCTGAGAAAGCACCTCTGCACTTCAAATAACCCCTTACTGTACAATCAGATAGGCTCTAAGAAGTTTAACAATTATTGCCAGTTTGGCCTTTATCAGATTAGTTGAAGCAACCTGTAATGCACTCTTAAAAAACATGTGTGAAAATGCAGTTAAGTATCTTCAGTGTGCCTCACATTTTTTTTTCCAAATCATTCAAATCATACATCATTTAAATATTAATTTTGATTTAAGCAACGATTATACACAGAAATAGTCTTTAAATATACTATAGTTATTAAATAAACGTTGTGACTGTCAGCAGATAGTAACATCCTCAAAATCTACTCCGTATTTTACCTCAAGAGGAAATTTCCGTCCTTCCAAACTATGTTCTGATCCATCTGATGATATGTTGCATTTTCCCCAGTGAAAGGTGATCTTACTTGCTTTAAATATTGTGTCTAAGCTGCCTCCACTTACATAGTAATCATTTGTCAGGTTAACTTCCACTGAAGAAAGAGAGAGAGAGAGAGAGAAAAGGATGGTCAGGATAAAAGCCAGCCAAGGCATCTATGATACTGGTAAAATAAAGTAAAAAAAAAAGGTAAATATTTTAAGGTTCCTTTTCTGCCCTCCAAAAGCAACTTGGTGGAAAGTTGATTATTTAAACCAAGTAAAACATGTGTTAATACTGGGTTAATTAATATATTTCATTTTTATTCATGCTGAAACTCATAAAATAACTATCCACTGAGGTGAATTATTTTTACAATTCCCTCTCATCTGAAACTAGCCACAGAATCACACCTAACCTAAGCTCCTGAAAAATGGCTTAGCCATGAAAATGTCCCTTTAAGATGAGAAATCCATAAAACACAGTGTTTCCTGAAAGCATATGTGGTTGTAAAAAGAGACCTCTGCCATTAATTTTAATTCTGGATACATATCATGAAGCAAAAGCTACAAATGAAAATTTTACGCAGTTACAAGAAAGACTGTCCTGTGTGCAAGAGCCTTTAATTGTAAAACATTTTGGCACAGAAATAAGTGATGACGAGTCTTCACCAGGCTGTAGTAGTAGTATGTGAACTGTTAAAAGACTGAACATTTTTCTACTGGAAGGAATTGGAAGGGTGGAAAAGACTGAAACTCCACGTCTGGCTTTTCCACCTCTGTGGATTGTGAATTGTTTGACCTCTGGCTAAAACAGTGATAGTGGAGCTCAGCTTCCTTTTATTCCTCCTCTCAAGACCTTGAAGACAAATTTAACTGAAAGGCTTAGCAGTTCCTTTCACAGTATTTGAATTGCTACAGGGGAGGAAAAGCTCAGATCACTTTTAAGTCTTTAAAGAGTTTTTCCTCAGAGCTCTCATTTAAGGAGAAATGAACTATTTATCTCAGCTAGGAGGACAAGAGGGATGTAAACAATTGTTGAGCACTGGGTAAGAAGTACTTGATGGTGTGAAGAACAGAAACTGGAAACAATGACACTAAAATAAAATAATATTCAATGGTTCCTACAGTATCTAGTAGAAGCTTGGAGATGGTCATTAAGGAGAAGTGCTTCCAAACAAGCAGTTCCTGGTACTGTTCTACATTTATACAGCAAAGTGGTTGTAAAAACATTCATTTGGCAATGCAAATGTCACCAGAAGCTTCTTTTGCAGTAAGTTAAAATAGGCATTTGTAGGCATAGTTCATCTCTTCCTAAAATACATTTCTAGACCATTGGATTTACAGGTGCTATTATCCAATAGTTAGAAAGAAGAAAGGAAGAAAAATAGGTCCAATATTTTCTTCTTTGACTATAATAGGAAGCTGAAGGGAATAATTTAGATACAAAGGTCTAAATTACAGATTTTTAAAGACAGGTGAAATGAATTCCAACCTCCATATTTGAAACAGCTAGTCCATGAAGAGCTTCTAGATGGTTAATTTACACATACTTTAAAAAAGTATATATAGGACTCCTGATGAGATATTATTAATCATGTGATTGCTGTTTCTGTTTGTGCGTATATTTCCTTTATTTGTGTGTATATTTCCTTCTTTTTTATTTTTTTTTTTCTGTTTTAGTGGCTTCTCTATTATGCTTGGCCACTGCCATCATATGTTTGTTTTGTTTTGCTTTACTTTATGGCTGAACTTAGAAGCACAAATGCTAGGGAAAAATAAAATGGAAAATGAAAAAACATTAAAGTCCTTGGCTTACTGTCCTATATCTTTTTTTTTGATTCATTCAAATCTGCACATGAAATCTAAATTCTTACCTGTTTTGCCAGTATTGTGAATGAATGTATCTTCCGAAGTTTCTTTTTCCCACCCATGGAATTTAAGTTTCTTCAAATTCACATTTACTTGGGTAAGATCTTCGTCTATATTAATAGGAGATTGTCTGGCACCATTGCAGGATGAGTATTTCTTTCCCCAATTCTTTTGGTTCAAAGTTCCTAGAAATGATAATATTTGGAATAAACAGTTACACACTTTGAATGGGACATTTAAAACCTAAATTGGTTCTTATAAACTCCTTAAAATTAAGGAGTTTATTAAACTCCTTATTAAACTCCTTATTATCTCCTTATTAAACTCCTTAAAATAAAATTATATTATGACCACTTAAAAAGTGAAGCATATAAGATCATGAATCCCCAGAGAAAGAAGAAAACAAAAAAATGTACACATGGTATGCAACAATAAAAAATAGCAATTAAATAAATTTTCCAATGAAACAAACTGTAATTCAAAAATCTTCAGTAATTGCTGCAAAATCTTCCTTTTTGGACAGCTCTTTTTATCACCTGAATGTTTCTGCCCATTAAAGTCAATCGGCATTGTTTCTGCCCATTAAAGTCAATCCATCAATAAGATCTCTAAATAAACAAAAGCAATAATATCTTTAAAATATACTTATGCAAATGAAAGAAGTAAAAGTGATTTCATCCTGAAAAGGTTAGCGATACAGTGGATAGAGTGAGTGGACATATGGGCTTTGCCCATAGAGGACTCTGTGCTTAAGCTCTTCAGACATTTCTCTACAACCGGAGAAGGGCAGATAAGGAGCTTTGCACTTCAGTGGGGCACATTTGCCAGGGCAGAAGGGATCATCATTTCACTTCACAGCAGCATTTCACTTCAGACAATTTTATACACAGCCAAAATGGACTTGAATTACACCAAAATTTTCCATGGAAAATGCTCAGGTATTGAAGGTATCAATGCAATGGGTTCAGAGCTGTTCTGAGAATATTTTAATTATACTAGATTTGTTTATTTACATACACACATACATAAAAACATAAATACTTTTTCCTGGTAATTCTGGTAACACTTCAAGGGGCTCATTAAAATCAAAGGTTGACTGTACAGGCACACAAACATATAAAATGCTTCAGGTAGCTAGTAGTTAAGAGCTAATATTAATGCATACAAGGTACACATTTGAAGGCTATTAGATGGGCTCAAACAAGGCAATGCTCATTTATAGGCTGCTGTAGTACATCCCAGCCTGTCAGCAGAAGATTTGCTGTATTGTACCCCAGGCAACGACAGGCCTCATATTGCACACAGAAAACTCAGGAAAGGAGACCAGATGCAGCCAATACTGTAACCATGACAATAGGCAGTAATGCAAGATGCTCATCTGGGTAGTTAGCTACCTAGAAACAAAGCTGAGCTAAATTATTCAAGATGTATTGAGTAAAGTGAGTTACCAATATCACCTTGCCAAACCAGGAGTACTGCAGGTCGGATAATATGTAAACTCATTTACACCTTTCAAACAGGAGCAGAAGACACGATTAGGCGTAACATCCAAGGGAACCAAAAGGAATTTTAGTTGTAATGCTATGAATCTGAGTTTCCTGCAGCTGTGGATTACAATTCTGTACTGCTACGCTTGGGAATATCACAATGTGTAAGTTTCCCAGCTCCTCCTCAAGTAATGCTTTTCTTGGCCATTAACTATGAATTATAATATATCACCTGGGTGAATAATGTAAGATTCTGATTTCTAATGTATTTGTCATAAGAAAAGAGCATTTCTCTCTCAAAAGCTTCACTGATTAGATTTTGAGAACAAGTCAACCAAAACTTGGAGATGAATCTGCTAAGGTCTCATATAGCAAATATCACAATTATGAATGGCTTTTAAACACAATAAATCCAAATGTATTTGAATGTGAGCTAGCCAACTTAACTTTTCGTACAACCAAGCTTTCAGACAGGGTCAGGCAGAACGGAAGTAACAGGTATTTGTACCTTGTACCAATTCTCAGATTTCTTCTTGCAACCTTTCAGACTGCCCCTTTTTTCCATGCTTGGTTTCAGCCAACTCGGTGGTTTTCCAAGTTGCAGCAAATTCCTCAGGCCCCTCCCTGGCTCTTTGGAAGGCATTTTTGGCCTAGCTGGCTGCCCAGAGCCACTTTCACTCCTTCCTTTTGCCACAGCCCGTGATTTCCAGAGGTTCCTGCAGCTTGCTCCAGGGAGGAGCAATTTCCTCTCTCCTTCCATTAACCTATACGCTCCCTCTGTCCACCTGCAACCTCTCCTTTAGGATATCACCATGAATCTTTTTCCAACATGCATCTCCCTTATTTAGCTGTCTCTACCAGTCATACTGACCCAGAATCCTGCTTGTTTCTCTCTCACCACTGCACTTTTTTTGCACTTTCTTCCATGTTTATTTTGGTAAATAAAAACTTTCCCAATTTCATACTTTCCCTTTAATTAGTCCACTCTCAAGTTTATTTAAACAAACATATTGAGAAAAATGATAATCTCTTTCCATTTTTCCTAGCTTCATATTTTGTATTTCAGGTTTTGTTATAAAGAATGCAAATTCTTTGATTCAGTTGTCTTATTACTATCTGTGCCTCAGCACATAACACAACAAATCCCTAGTGCAGAGCTAATGATTGCAATAGTAATCTTCACACATCCCAAAAGACAGTATTGTGCCAAACACTGTAATTCATCACAGCATTCTGAGGCAGGGTATGTGGAGTTACTCAGGCTGCCGGCTGTAGGCTGTAGGAAACATGCAATGCCTGTTGCCTAGTTGAAGAAGTTTGTTCTGTCTTTGTAGATGTGAAGATTTGTTAATATTGCCATGAAGAAAGCAGAGAAGTCATAGTCTGATGAAGAACATTATTTTATGTATCCCTGTATGGCCTCAATCCTATGAGGTGAGCTTGCTAAAAAGAGACTTGATAATATTCTACATTTTATTCTATGTAGAAACAATGACAAATTAGTCAAGCAACTTATTGTGTATAAAAGGTTCCTTTTTCATAAAGAGCTTTTCAGCTTGCCCGTTACTGAAATCTTATGACATCTGCAAATCCTTCTTCCCCAAAGAAACTTTAAGAACAGTGATCTTCATGTAATTACATGTTGTAATACAGTTGCCAGTAGACATGTCAAGAGGCTAATCTGTGTATGTTGTATATGAAGGAGATGCAAATACAGTTTCTGCTATTCTTTAATTGACAAAAAGAAAAATACTGTTGTGGTTCTATGCATGTTAAGCAAAATTATACAAAAATAAAAGTACATTCACAGTTGCAAAAGACAAGATATTCCATTAAGATAAATTAACTACCTCTCCCCACCAGATCAGTGAATATTATTTAATTTGAATAAGTATGTGACAGCTTTTAATCCACTTTCTTCTTTGTGGTCCAGCAGTTGGTATAACTGAAAAACTAAATAAGTGAAGGAAAATATTATTTCCTACAATTCCAGCATTATAAACAAATGATCTTAGCATGGAGTAACTCTGGCAATATGGAAGCCCTTTTTGGCAAGTGCTCTAAGTAGAAGATACTGTAGGAAGATGGTACTGAGCACACAAATGAAGACCAGGATTCTCTGTTCATTTCTTAAGTCAAGAGCAAAACCAATTACACAACTACTGAGAAGTTGTATCAAAACCAAGTACACAACTACTACGAAGCTGTATGAAAGGCCCAGAGCCTTTCATAATTAAACATAAACAGGCTCCTGTTTGAAGGAGGACAGTAGGAATATGGATAATTCCAGAAGGACCTGGAGTTCAGTCATGATGGTTCAAAATCTATTTGAAAAGTAAAATAGACTTTGCATAAATCTTGCTAGTTTTGGAGCAGATATTCACTGTGTCTTTATTAGCAAATATTGGAGACTAATATAAATGGATTTATGGAGTGAAATGTAGTGTGGGGGGGAAGAGGGCCAGTGAACCCAAAACCCATAATAATTCAGAAGATTTTTATGTCCCAGGATAGCTCCGTGTGGTGCCACAACTGAATGTCCACTAGCAGCTGAAATGCATTAGGCACACATTTCCTGTTTAATTTCAGCTGAGCTGGGCCCAAGTCATACCTTCCTACAACTTGTGACAAAGACAAGTCACACTTCGAGATAACTTCTGAACCAAATGCCTGGTAAGCGGGGAATAGGCAGGAGTTTTTGTTCTAAAGTAAAACGTTATTGTAAATGCACCCACAGTAGGCAGCAGGTGGTGAAACTGCTGTAGTTTACGTGACTTACAGAAAGCCAAATGTTTTTAACAAGATTGGATTGTTTTACTGTAGGTGTTATAATGGAATTTTGAAAAATACTGTTAGAATTGAACTTTGAAAATGAATTCCCCCAAACTGTGCTTTGTTCAAAAGGAAATCTGAGAAGAATAAAAATGTTCATGACACAACTTGAACTGTGTGCAGAGGAAGCAATGTTTGTTGAAGCTGTCAGCTCCAAAGAAGGAATTGACAATTCACAACGAATGAAAATGCACCTGAACATGTACAGATTACAGGATACATGGAAGACTACTTATTCTGTAACACCTCTTCTTACCCAGGACAGAATGCCCACCTAATTTTTTTCTACCTTTTAGATTTTTTTTTCTAAAAATTGTTCATGTGCAGCTCTGTACTGCATCCTTAGCACCACTGATCTCAGCTGTGCAAGGAGAGGCTAATCCTTGCTGCATACTCTGCTCCTATCTGCTAACAGAAACTTCTGTCCTTTGCTAAAATACTTGGAAGAAATGCATCTGCAAAGAAAATCTGAGTGTCAGTAACCTAAGCAAGTTGAAAGAGAGAGCTGTGAAGCTGCGTGGGCTGTGGTGCCCTGACATACTACAATGCATGCATCCATGGGGCTGTAAATCACTCTGTGAGTATAGTTGCTTACTACTATGCATCAGTGATGACTGTATGGTATAAATAATCTGCTTAAAATGGAAGATGTCCTTTTAAATCAGTGGAAGATATTTACAAAGGACATAAAATATAAACCTCAAACCAAAGGAATTTGATTCTGAATGCATGAAACAAATGCTTGAAATTTCTTCTTACTGAAAAAAGACACAGTTTCTGAAGAAATAGGATGTTAATAATAAAGTTTGGACGTTTTGTTTTAATAATGATGTCAGAAAACTATTAGTGAGGAGACAAGCTATCCT